TAGCAATGATAGAAAAAGGGACTAGCACGGATAATGCCATTACTTGTGATAAAGTCCAATTGGTCTGCAACAATAGATCTGGAGAATATCAATTGTCGGTCATGGACATTGAGTATTATGACTTCGTGTTGGGAATGGATCTCTTCGCTAGACTCGGCTTTTCTATCACGGGAATAGCCATGCCGGAGATACGAGAGGAGGAATCCCTATGGGTCCCATATGATGAAAAACCTCAAGTCATTCCGTCACAAACTCCAGAAAGAGAAAACAATGCTGAATTCAAAGCATTGAAAGAAAAGTTCCTGTTAGCGCTGGAGCCTTATTTACATGCGAATGAAGCCATCTCGCCAAATTCATTTTGCAATCTTGATACAATGAAGGTCCAGCTAAAGGTTAAACCCACCTGTATCATCCAGGAAAGATCTCGCCCATTCCATTCGCAAATTGAAAAAGAAGAAGTGGAAAAGACCATCCAGAAGTGGCAAGAAACGGGTGTTATCGTTCCAGCACCTAAGGGGTGTCCGTATAATAACTCCCTGACAATGGCAGCACGCCGTGACCTGGATGGTAATATTCTGAAATATAGAGTATGCCTTGATCCAAGAATGTTGAATCGTCAACTAGAGGATACTGATGTCTTCCCTCTACCATTAATCACTGATATCCAGCAGAGGGTAGCAGGGCATCTGTATTTCACCGCAATTGATCTGTCTCAGGCGTATCATCGCATGCCTGTAGAGAAATCAAGCCAACCACTAACTGCATTTACGTACGGTGGTAAGCAATATATGTTTGCTAGAGCACCTTTTGGTTTAAAACCCCTCACGAGTATCTTCCAAAGAGGAATGTCACAACTCTTAGATGATCTGCACTTTGCTGACAATTATGTGGATGACATTATTGTCTATTCGCACACAGCAGAGGATCATATTCTTCATGTCAGCATTGTCATAGAAAGGCTTACAGCTGCAAAGTTGATAATCAATAGAGAAAAGAGTAAATTCCTTAGTACAGAAGTGCTACTACTGGGGTTCATAATCAACAAAGAAGGACGCAAAATAGATATCAACAAGGTTGCTAATGTGCATTCATGGACACCACCTACCAATAAGAAGATGGTTCAACGCTATTTAGGCCTCTTCAATTATTTTAGGGAGTATATACCCTTGTACAGCTCGCTCACAGCACCTCTAGATGCCCTGCGCAATGCCAAAGGCACTTTTGATCTTAATAAGGAGCAAATGCGAAGCTTTAACAGCATCAGATCGCTTATAGCCCAAGCTCCAGCCTTATCGTTCCCTGATTTTACTCAGCAATTCTTTGTAGCCACAGATGCCTCTAACGTAGGCATAGGAGCTGTCCTATATCAGCTACCGGGTGGCAAGGAAGATGAAACCAAGGTCAACTACATATCCTTTCAAGCCAGAGCATTGCATAAGCATGAGAAAAATTACCCAGCTTACAAGAAGGAACTCTTAGCAATTATTTTTGCACTAATGAAATTTCACCATTACCTTTGGGGAAGAAGATTTACATTATATACTGATCACAGACCTCTGACGTACATTCATGAACAGAAGGAGTTGCCACAAATAATCCTGAATTGGAAGGCCACTCTGCTCAACTATGATTTTGAATGTATTTATCGTCCAGGCCTGCTGAACATTATTCCAGACGCATTATCTCGCGCATTTCCTGAGGAATTGTGGAAGTCTCCTAAAGAAGAACAAGCTACATGTTCTACGAGTCGGCAGATTGCTTCTATGAGGCGAGGAACAGAGACTACCGAGAATGTTCAGGCAGCTCCACAGTCATCTGATTCGCAGCAGCTGCCTTCCACTCTACAGGTTATTGATATAACTGCTCCTTACTCTCATCAACTTCAGTTGGAGGATGCTTCTAGAAAAATCATCCAAGATCCTGAAGAAAAGCTTCAGCATCTTCGCCTAGCACACGAATTCGGTCATCCTGGAGGAAATGCCATGGTTACTGCTATCCATGCTAAAGGCTTTACTTGGCCTAAATTGAGAGATGATTGTCTCAAATGGGTTAGCCAATGCGGACCATGCCAAAGATTCAACATAGCTAGAAAGGGGTATCATCCTTTAACTGCCATACATGCCAGACTCCCAGGGGAACACATAGCATTCGATTTAGCCTCATTTGAAACCAGTTCCAGGGGTAATAACTACGCTTTAGTAGTGGTTGACATCTGCACAAGATTTGTATTCCTGGAGCCTCTGCCTGATAAGGAAGCCATTACGGTGGCCAGCACCCTCTTCAAGCTATTCTGCTCTATTGGATTCCCTAAAATTATCCAAACTGATAATGGCACTGAATTCGTCAATGGAGTGTCACGTCTCATAACGCAAAAGTTGCAAATAGAGCATAGACTCTCCACGCCATATCATCCACGCTCGAATGGTGTAGCGGAGAGGTTTGTCCGCACATTTAAGGACATCCTCAGAAAACAACTCGAAGGCATACAGAATGATTGGGACATCCATCTTCCAATGGTTCAGCTCCAAATGAATACTAGAGTCGCGAGTCTACATCATTCAACGCCATTCTCATTATTCTATGGACGCTCATTTGCAGGACTAACGGATTTTTCCTCAGCCGAGTCACATCTCCTGTCTGAAGAAGAATTACAGAGCAGATTGGAATATCTCACCGCGTTAGTTTTCCCTGCTATCGATGATAAGAGTTCTGACACGCAAAAAAGAATGGTGGAGAAATTCAACAGGACACACAAAATCCTTCAGTTCCCACCTGGAGCGTTTGTCATGGCGAAGGAAGAATTGCCCAATGGTAAATTAGCACCTAAATACCAAGGCCCATACAAAGTAGTGGCTCGTACCGAAAATGGTGCCTACACTCTGCTAGACGCTACCAACCAGAAATTGGCTCGTAATTATGCTCCGAGCCAGCTCAAAATGGTCACTCAAGCTCTTGATGCTCCCAGTGAAGAGTCGTATGAAATAGAGTCTATCGTTGACCACGAACTCACGGGAAAAGGAATGATGTATACTGTAAAGTGGAAGGGCTATGACTCCTCATACAACGAGCAAATTCCCTATGAGAATTTTGACTCGGACATCATCATTCGTCAATATTGGAAGAACCTAAGACAGCAAAATCCTCATATTAATGACAGAAAGAGGAAGAAGCAGCAAAAGAATAACGCATCAGAGTCAACAAGACTTCTTAAGAGGAAGCAGAGACAACTCACCCATAACCAGACCAAACGGCACAAGCGTCATGTAGCGGCAAAGCTGTAAAGTGCAGAGAGCTGTTATATTAGTAGGGTTGAGATAACTGGAGTTTTTGTACAAATAAGTTTTCTCCAGTATGAAGAAAAGAGAGCACACACTCGTCCTCATTTCAATATTTTTTTTTTTTTTTTTTTTGCAACGCAACAGTCAATAAATTTCAATTTAGCAACTATCAACTTTATTCTTTCCCTTGCAGCATTTGCAACTAGCAACTGGATGTGATGGCAACTGAGAGTTAAGAGAATCTACAACTTTCTCTACCCGTATGCGCATAGTCTTATACTTCTCTGATTGCTTGCGCAACTTAGTATACTTCTTGTAGAGGCGTTCATACCTCTTAGCCCATGCGAATTCTCTTTGGAGGCGGCTCTTCGCGGAATCATCGCCACTCTCCGCCATCAAACGTCTTCTCTTCCCAAGAGTCGTACACACTCCACAGCTTGACAATTCTGCTTCACTGCTTTCGCTGCCTGATGACTCTTCATCACCAGAGGGCTCCTTTCGCTTCCTGATAGGACGAGGTCCTGGGATTTCCAGAGAGGCTGATCGGCTCCGTGCCTCTGGGTGGTAAAACTGATAGTGTGCCTTTTTCCAGGCACGAGTCTCCTCGTCACTATCCCACAGATCCTCCTCACCCTCATAATCCTCGTCGTCCTCAGCGTCATAGCTGCTCTCTTCCTCAGTATCTCCTTCGAAGTTACTGCGATTCTCCACGTCTGCAGTCTCTGTTAATATGAGTGAAGACGGAGCTGTTGAAAGCTCCGTAGGGATAAATTCATAGTCCTCATACTCATGTAGAGTTGAAGAGTCAGACAGGGGGGAAGAGGGAGAATTGTTAGAAGGCATATTGATAATTGTCTGCTGATGGCTGTTATAAGGAAAGTAAGTAATGAGTATGTGTCCCTGCAAGAAGGTGTTTGAGTAGCAAAAGTGAATACTGAGGAATGAAGGAATGAGTGAGCGTTTGAAGTTTCCAATCTTCATTCCTTTTGACCTTAATCTTCTTCATTTGCTTCGTGAATCCTCATTCGTCCTTCTGGGGGGAAGTGGATGGCGTGATCTTTTTGTGATCCCTGTTTGACAAAGGACCAATGAGATTTCTACATTTTTGACATGCTGAATAATTACTACCCACATCTCCTGTATGACACATCCTGATCCAATGGCTGTTATATTTCCATGATCCATTTGCTGACATTACTTTTTGAGATAAAGTCTCTCTCTAATCACAAGAAAAGAAATATCAAAACAAGTTTTAAGAATAGACACTGTGAAGTCTCACGTGAGGTTTAAATTTTTGTCCTCAAGAGGTTTATTTTTTTCCTCCTACCTTTCAACAACAAGAGGTTTTTCTTATTTTTCCTCAAGGCCTTTAGACAAGACGCCAAAAACCCTACATAAAATCTGGGGGGAAGTTGTTACGTCCTGAGGCTAGGGAGTGTACCCAAATGGAGCACTCCCCTTTTTATTCATAGATCAGAGCAATTAGTGACGGCTATGTTGGAGCCTATATAAGGCTCCGACCTAGCTAAAATAATAAACAACTTTTGATCTCCTTGACTTCCGATTTACCATAAAACATATCAACTTCGAGTATTGAATGGCTCGGATGATTCGAAAAGCAATCGAATTTAGATATCCATTCGAAAACGAATCGAATTCGAATGGTTGGAATAGAAGCGCTGCTCCGCAACACCAAGGCAACTGAGCCCTTCCACATTATTGAACCATTCGTACGATTATTTGAAATCAATGATACAGAAGAAATATTAAATGTTATTTCTGCCGCCTTGACGGAGCTCCTTGATGTAAATTACGACGCCAGTAATGACCGGGAACTATCTCAACAATGCGAACGCTACACTCGATGGAAACAAGCTGTCGAGGTATGGAGATATGAATGGGTACTTGCTTTATGGCCCTGCAATGAATATGGCCCTGCATTGAATATGGCCCTGCATTGAATACTAGAGACTTCGGGCTTAAAAAGTTTGGGAGTCGGGGAACGCCCAGGCTTCCAAAGCTTTAAGGCACGTCTCGTTGAAGCCCGTGATAGTATTATATAATTCATATTTAATGTATGACTAAGCAGACTGTAACACAGCCTTTTATTTTTATTTATGGTCAGAGACATTCCGCACATCTTGTACCAAGTTTTTCGCTAAGAAGACTGCTGCCGCGACGTCTACTCCTGCTACCACTGCCAGCACATTTCGTCGCTCGGATCGAATTAAGGGGATCCGGCCATCAGAGGTTATATATCCAATAAGAAAATTATAGCCCGGGACAATGTACAGGAGGCACGGGACAGAGTACAGCAGGCTCCCCCCCACTATAGCTTACATCTAAGCTAAAAAACACAACCAATAATGTCACTCCTATCTCCTTCATTGATGCCGGGATCTGTGAGCTAACGAATACCTCTGTTTTAACGCAAATGTACTGGAGTTGTTAATACAAAGAACGGCATCCGAATCCATTCTCTGATAAACGATAAATAAAAAAAACTTCTTTCTTTTGTTGCTGCTCTTGACAAGGATCTATTCTGTTTCAAAACCTAAACCCCGAGTCAAAACTATCCATGCATTCACTGGTGAAAAGTTTTTAAAAGACAAGAAGGTGAATAGTAGAGTAAGTGAGAATAAGATGTAGGTCTACATATCACACCGATGAGGTGTTTATTGAAATTTTCATCATATTCACTAGAGTATTAAGAGCATAACTAAAGTTTGTGTACGAGTAACATGGATAGAGCGTATCCATGGTAAATGTTTCTTAGGAGATGTATGTTCAGAAAAAGCAAAAGATGTTACGTCCATTAATACAGGATGTCTGTCCATCAGCATAGGCACAAGAAAAAATATTTTCTTCAATCTTTTATGCAACGAGTGCTGCAAAATTATAGTTTGCTGTTTTCGTATTCGGCCTTGAACGTAACTGAGGCAAAGCATTAGATTTTCTAACAAGGCAAGAGTCGACCGTGACGAAGCTACGGTCTTGTAACTCGTTTTCTTTATTTCATTTTACCATTTTTCAGCTAATGTACTAATGTTTTATTTTTCTTTTACTTTTACTTTTACCCAGCCAAAGCCCCATTAGGATCACACAATGGCTTATAAAAAGGACACCTGAACTCTTGGGGGTGGCAGGATATACATTCCATGACCATTCAACCATGCCTAATAGCACTATCCGAATAATCACAGGCAACCTTGTTTGCCATAACAAATAAGGGAGTGTCATGCTATACCATGAATAAAACTGATAATGCAAGGATCTTGCAAACACTATCCCGATAAAATTGCTTGTGAACATTAATGTCAACACATGGCTAGGCTTTATATGCTGTGCATGGGCTGACAGAGCCATCTTGGGTGATGTCGATCCACGTAGCACCACAGAAACAATGCCGCCTTCCAATCTACATATAGATAGACAAGCATCAGGGTCAATATGTATGGCCGAATAGAGTAAAAACCTTTCTTATGGCCAAATATATATTAAAAAAGCTCACCTGCTCCATCTGAAAAACACAAAGGCAAAAAGGACCACCATATGCCCCGCTAGAAGTAACTTTGCAAAGTCTTTACTCAAAAACGTGCTCTCGTCCAGGAACTTCCAATTGACCGTCCATTTGTACTCAAAAACGCGGGAAAACTCGAAGGCCTTACGGACATAGCTTTCTGGATAATGAAGCGTAAATGGAAGTGAGACTAAAACCTATGGCGAGAGGGAAAAGAAATATATATAAATATATCGGGTCGACATTTTCCTTATCCTTTGATCCTTCGTTTTTTTTTTTTTTTTTTTTTTTTTTTTTCAATCCACAGATAAAGGATGGTGATTACCTGTATCAAGAGCATGGTGCTCAACTGGATAATCGTCCCTACAATGCCTTGAGTTTGCCAAATCAAAAACCCAAACGCAGGGAAAAACAATAGAATATTCATTTTGATCGAAATAGCAAAGCTTGATATACAAAGATTGCGAATGAAGAAAAGACAATGCAGTCAGTACAATTCTTAACTTGATTTTTTTTTTTTTATTAGGTTGAAATCTTCTTCTCCTCCTCCTTACCTAAATAACGAACTGCTCAGTATCCAACGTCTATTCAAAAAGGCTAATATCGACGCATACAGAAATAGCATCGCCACTGGATCATTAAATAATCGCAGAACATATATCGAATGCAGGCGCTTTGAAAGACACACTGGAATGAGAACATATGGTGGAATCTATTAAGAAAAAAGAAAAAAGAAAAAAAAAAAATCAATATCCATTGCCTTCAATAACTTCCCAGCAACAACAATAATGAATAAATAACAAAAGTTACATTTTTATCTTTTGCATAGATTGCAAACACAATGATAAGTGTAAGAAGATACAGGCTCATAAAGATCCATTGGCCCTTATAAATGTTCTCACCGGAATCCGTGAGATAATAAAGTAATGAGTAGATATAAACGAATCCTGCGGGATACACCAGTGGTCCTGTATCGCCACGTAGCTTCATATAATCAGTCTCTCCTTTAAGATATCCAGAAACTTCCTGCATGTATGCAACCCAGTCGATTTCTGTGTCTATTGTTTGAAATAATCAGAAGAATTATTATAGCGGTGATAATGATAATGATAATGATAAAGATTCCTCCCCTCTCCTTCCTTTTTCTTCAACTTATTACAGTGAATCTTCTTGATAATGAAAAAATTGAGAAATATTTCAGCCAGGAAAAGGAGTCCTCCGAGCTTCCAGATATGTGCATGGTTTAATAGCAACTCGAAGACCAATTCGATGGGTCGGAAAATACTAAGAGTCTTGGTCGATTCTTGTTCCTCGGTGGGATAATTAGATGAAGCTGACACGGAAGATGAGGCCGCGTAGCGAGTCTGCTGCGTCCTTCTGTTGACAGCCATGGCAATTCTATTGACTGAGAGGACAGATTCAGATGAATGATGATGCGGAATACTTGCTGTATTTAGGATGCACAAGCAAAAATTCAGACGTGGCAAATTTTAATACAATTACAATCCAACACTGCTAATATGTATTTATACTATTCAGATTACTTTATTACTTTAATGTGTAGATCGAGCGGGATTTTACGCGTCCTTTTTTGTTGGTGTAGTGCGTGGTGCAAACACATCCTCGAGTGATCGAGGCATCTGGTGTACTGTGGATGATACTGTTCCTGATGATGTCGCACCACTGCTACTGGATACAACATTGGCAGTACCACTGCCAGATCGTACCATGGGTGTAGATAATGTCGATCTCTCTCCAGTTATGTTTACAGTTCGTCCTTCATGATCAATTGCAGTAGAAGCTGAAGTTGGAGTCGAAGCTACGTTAGTGCCTTCGGCCCCTATTTCTCTTTGTGGATCAGTAACTGATATGGAAGGCATTTTTGAGTGCTGCTTCAATAAGAGTTCCCTAGACTCCATCTCATCTTCGGTACAAGTCTCCTGCGGGACTCCTGTGATAGGTGATGCTTCACTTGTTCTAGATGGCCCAGTAGAATCACTATTAGTGATGATGGATAGGTTGCCGCCACCACTACCAATAGTCTGACCATGTTCTCTTATCATGGTTTTGAGGCGGGTGACTGCATCTTGTCCAGATTGGTTGACAAGGCCATAGAAATACCCATCTTTGTTCTCGATCAGCTTAGTTGCATGATCAAACTCAACTACTCGCCCATCCTCCATAACCAGAATCTTATCGCACTCGATGATTGTATTGAGTCGATGAGCAATCATAAGAACTGTGCAGTTTGCAAAGTTCTTTTTGATCGTATCTTGAATCAAGAGATCTGTTTGAAGGTCCACTGCACTAGTAGCCTCTGCAAAGCAAAACGATAGCCATATGTATCAGCATGCTAAGTTTAGTATACGCCATTCAAGAATCCAGGATGATATTACAACAACATAAAAAAATAAAAATAATAAAAAAATAAAAATAAAAAAACTTACCATCTAGAACAAGAATTCTACTTTGAAAGAGAATAGCACGTGCAATACAAAACAACTGGCGCTGTCCAAGAGAAAAGTTACGTCCGTTTTCGATAATAGGCGTCTCTAATTTGAGAGGCATGTTCTGTTTAATATTCTCCGACAGGTGAACTGCATCCAACGCTGCCCAGATTTCTTGGTCGGTCCTGCGATGGAAGGGGTCGAGGTTGGATCGGATGGTGCCCACAAACAGAACTGGCTCTTGAGGGATAATCGCGATCTTGCTCCTGAGATCATGGAGTCCAATCTCACGTACATCCACATCATCGATTAGGATCTTACCCTCTGCTGCTTCAACTACTCTCAACAGAGAAATCAGCAATGTAGTCTTGCCACTGCCCATCTTTCCAACTACTCCAATTTTCTCGCCTGGTTGAACAACAAAGCTCACTTTCTTCAAGACAGCGACTCCGTAATTCTGATATCGAAGTACAACCTTCTTGAACTCGATTTCTCCTCGGCTAGGCCAGTCCAATGGAGGCTGCGACTCTGGGATGTGGTCGGGAGCCTCTGCAGGGATGTTCATACCATACAATTCAAGTTGGCAGACTGACTCCTTGGTCGATTTGATCTCAGCAGCCATGCGTATAGACCACTGACCAAAGATCAACAGCTGAAGAGCATTCGTAATCGCCAAACCGACTTCCGATGCATCCAATGAGCCGCCTCCCGAAAAGTAAATAACACACATGGCTGTCACCAGAACAAAGATAGACGAGATAAGGTCTAAATAGAGTGCAAGCCACGAACGGACCTGCATCATGGCGAAAAATGCTTTGTGGTTATCGTCAATTTTGTGTAAATTGAAGCTGTCAAATCGTTGCTCGGCACCATAGACGCGGATCGAAAACAGGCCATCCAGAGTTGCGGCCATGTGGGCAAAGATAGGCCCTTTAGTCATAGCCTCCATACCCTTGAGTCGCTCATCAGTGTATGAGGAAAAGTGCACTAGAGCCCAGGCAACTACGAGTAAGACAGCTACGGCAATAGCTGACCAGGGAACGATCACGATTACTAAGATAGCTGCACCGATCGCCAAAGGGGCATACTGTAGTAGCTGAAGGATGGCATCCGGTAGAACCTCGTCTACTGTATACATGTGTTTTGCGAATGCGTTCAAAATTCTGGCCAACGGTGTCACATCAAAATAACTCATAGGTGCCCTCAAAATTTTGCGGAAGACGCGGTCATGGTATGTAACGGACTTTTTGAAGACGATCCAGGACAAAAGGAAGGTGCGAGCAAATATGCCAACGACAACTGCCGCTACAAGCCCACCATAGACACCGATATAATAATGAAAGTCAGATTTCTCATCCGGACCTACTGTGAAGCGCAACCAATAGTCTGAAAAGATCCGTAGTCCATGTGTTGCCAAAAAGATCAGGGCCACAGAAATAGAAATGCCCATGCCAGTTCCTTTACGCAAATAAGCTTTTGCGACTGACCAGCTGGGGACACCATCTCTACTTTTTACGCCATATCCCAGATCCAGTCGTTCGCCACGTCCACCACTAGTTCCTAGCATGCCGCCATCGCGACCACTCAGACTGTGAATTGTCAGTTGATTTCTCTCCACCGCTTTTGCCATTATATTCTCCTCGCGATTAGTAGGGGCTCCTGTTAGTCTATTTTGGCCCATACTTCCTAAGATTGTCATCTGATTGCGCTCTATCATCCTGGAAATTGTCTGCTCATTAATCATCTGATTCTGTATCGTATGTGCATTCATCTCTCGAAGTCGATGAATTGTCTGCTCATTAGCAGCCATGTAGTTGTTGTAAGATGTTCCAGGATTAGACATGGAATGTGAGCGCTGGGAGAGCAAGTTGGGACGACTATTCACACTAGAAGACCCTCCAGCAGCGGCCTTGCCTGATATACCCATACTAGTCCGTCCTTGGACCATGATACTGCCAAGCTCCTCACCATCTGACTCCACAGCAGCGCCTTCATTAGAAAAACGGGATGCTAGGCTCTTTCCAAGCGATCCTCGCTGGATTGCGACATTTTTGGGGACAGTTAGCTGGCGATCGGTGCTTTTCTCTGCATTTAATCCGGTCGGACTCATTGGTTGAGAGGCCACTCCGAACCCTTCTTCGTCTCCTTCCGCTGATGGCTCCAACCGAACTTCGCTCATGAGCTCTTGAATTTGATCAGGATCCTCAATTTCCATAGACTCTTCGACAATGCGTGCCAAATTAACATCTTTGGCCATCAGTTCATCAAAAGTGCCCTGAGCTTCGACAGAACCTGCCTTCATAACGATGATACGATCACAATCACCGAGGTGTTGGAGTTGATTGGTAACATAGATGACAGTTTTGTTAGCCAAGTATCCCTTAATACACTCCTGAAAGATGTGTTTTCCAACCTGAGCGTCCATGCCGCTGAGAGGATCGTCCAAAAGCATAATGTCCGCGTCAGAGTATACAGCACGGGCCAGACTGACTCGTTGTCTCTGGCCTTGACTCAAATTGATTCCACGTTCACCAATCTCAGTTTCATCTCCTGCGCTTAATAATGTCAGATCGCGATTGAGAGCGCAGACACGCAAAATATCGTTGTATTTCTGTCGATTAAAGGGAAGTCCGAACAAAATATTTTCTTTAAGAGTGGCATTTACTAGCCAGGCATCATGGGGGACATATGCGAGCGATCCATGAACTTCACGATCTCCAGCACGAAGCTTAATTTGACCCATGATTGCAGCTAATGTTGAAGATTCTATTGAATGTTGAACATATTGAGAAATTACAAGAGAAAAAAAAAATCAGCGTCAGATCCACCATATTACACTCACTCAAGTGCGCGTTAATTGAAAGGAGGAAGTGTGTACATACTGCCGGACCCAACATCGCCTACAATGGCCACTAATTCTCCTGGCTTGACTCTCATATTAATAAATTTGAGTGTCGGGTTGGACTCTTGCGAATCAGGCCAACCGAAATCAGCATCCTTGATGTAAATTCGAAGGCTAGCAATCTCACGACGAAGCGCTAGTCTCTCCATTTCTTTTGCATCTCCGCTACCGCTACTCGACCCGTTCATGACTAATCCATCAGCCACAATAGATGTATCCTTGGAGCTATCCTGATCTGAGCCACTCGTATCAGAGCGGCCATGAACTGAAAGGGGTTCTACCTCTGGTAAGCCCAAGAAGCCATCGAGGCGGTCGAAGCTCAGTAATGCACCCAGAGTTGTCTTGACAGCGATGGGTAACATGATCAATGGGTATCGCAGTGTATTGAAGATAGAAAGAATAGTGAATACGACACTTGCTTTGACATCACCTCGAGCCCCACGCGTATCAGTCAGCTCATAAACGCACATACATGCCAAAGTTGTGACAACAGGTGCTGAGAACACAACTGCAAATGATGTAATTTTCAAGTACATTCCACGGCGAAGTTCTCCCATCTCCTTTGCTCTCACACGAGTCACTCTGTCACGGAAATAAGGCTCCCATGCATAGAACTTGATCAGTTTGATGGCAGTCAAGAGTTCGGACATGATATGAATCCTGGCAGTTGTTGTATTAGTTGTCATGGCATTAACACGAGCAGTGTACAATGAAAGGAAATACTGAACAGGGAAGAGTAAGATGAGGATGATCAAAGCTGGGATAGCAGCAAGCTGAAGTTCTAGGAATGCTAAGGCAATCACCACTATGAAGAAAGTACGAAAAATATTCAAAAGATGTGCAAATTAGAAAGATAAGTTTGGTAAAGCTAATCGGTAAGTAATTTCTGATTTGCAGCCAAGAGAAAAAAGAATGATTCTCTGCTTCTTACCCAAAATCTCTAAAGCTGAGCTCCACAGAAAGTGGAAGTTGACAAACGATTCTGCGACGCGATTGCAATCATTTGAAATGAGATTGATGATGTTGCCAATACCCCCGTGGGCTGAAGATAGCTTGAGTGATTTACGATAGATCAGGACCATGAGACCTGCTCGAACCTGCATGACAAGAGTCATAAAAAAAATAAAAAAATAAAAAAAAGATGTCAAAATGTAAGAAATATTAGAGTCCTATTGTGCAAGCATCTATACATGTGGCCGAAGCTTGCCATTTGTATTTACTCCAAAACCTCCTTATTGTCTCTTTATTCCTCACCTGAACACCAATACGCGTACATTCAGCCATGACCTGCTGAATACAGACGCTACTGCCAATGCAAGTCAAGAAAAGACCCAAAGCATAGAGGTAACCTTCTGCGGAAGAATTTTGGCCCATGTTTTCATCTGAAACTTGCTCCACATGGCTGATGATGCGCTTGACAAAGAAATAAGATCCGAGATAAGTGAAAATGATCCAAAACATCTTGTAGAAGGCAAGCATCAGATATGGACGGCCAAATGCACTCATCAAGGCTCTGCTAATTGAGGCTCTATTTGGAATACAAGCATCGATCCAAGAAAGGCGCACATTAGCATATTGCAAAATAGTGTAGGTGAGAGCATCCCGTAGTGTTACTCTGCCACCACACATCTATGCACATATAAACAGCCTTTGTGAAGAGACAGATGACGATTTTGAGGGGCTCACACACACATCGTCACCAACCGACTAGCATTCAGTAACCATAGCAAGGGCAGCTGACAAAATAAAAGTAGCATGCATCTGAATATAAGATCTGAAGCGACAAAAAAGATTGGGAAAGTGGAGGCCTTGTTTGGAGTCTTTTGCATGCAATTTGATTTTCCGAAGAAAAGGAACATAAAAAACAAATAGCGCGTGTAACTATCAGACAACACAACCCGACCTTTCTTTCCTAATGTCTTGCTGCAGATCCCTTCCTCTTCTGTACCATGCAGAGGACAATCATAACTGTACACATTCTGACAGAATGCTACTCTCAAAACATTCCTTCCTATCACTCTCCTTCCCTCTTCCCTTCATTCTATCTCCTGTAACTTCTTCTGTGTCGACTTACTTTTCTTTGTAGTTAATTTCCTCCTGGCGCCAACGGTCACCGAGTCGCTCACCTGCATATTGAGCGGATTCTTCTATTTGGAGTTGGATCGAATCCGGACTGAATTCTGGATCAGACCTTGTCCGACGCAGTAGAGGGATCACCCAGAGAAAGAACCATCGTGAGATGACATTAAAGGAATGGCCGCCTTTGATAAGGACAGGCGTATCGTACAATGAAGAAGAGGAGGAAGATTCATTTTGCTGAGTAGGATAGCGTCTTTGTCGTTGTGATCGCCTTGAATGTGTAGAGCGTTTTTTAGAGAAGGGCATTCTCGGAAGGTTACTTCTTAGAAGAGATGAATTAAGGTATATAGGAAATACAAGTGGGTGATAGATTATGATGTGTTGAGCACAGGCAAGGTAACTCAGTGAGGCCAATTAACCTCTTGGATACCGCACAGTGGAAAGCCGAGGATAGAAAAGGATAGAGAAAGGAGAAAGAGATAGTGAGGTGGGGTAGAGGGGCCCGATCTTTTGTTAGTAAAACAGACACCTCTACAAGGCCAATGAAGAAGTGCGATCAAGTCGAAAAAGAAGCCAAGTTGAATCAAGTAGAAATAGTGAACAAAATTGATCAGAACAAAGCAAAGTTCATTCGGGAGAGAAAGTTGATCGAGTAAGTGAAGGAAGGAAGAATTGGAATGATTCAAGATGAAGGTGAAAAGTATATAATAATTAAGAAAAAGATGATGGAGGATACAAAGTAGAGAAATAGAAAGAGAGAAAGAGAGGTGAGAGCAATGAACATGTTATTTTAGTTTGACAACTAAAACCCAACGTTTTTTTTTAAAAAAAAGAAACTTCAAGATGGGATATTCATGTCATGTCATGTCAAATCTCAATTTAGTCCAGGTGGACACGGATATACTTTATTCACTCGTATCATAAATTGTCTTGACAGAAAGAGTTGATTATTTGATTCTTCTCCTTGCTTGTGTGTATAGAAATAATGTATAATGATGTGTAATAATTCATGTTTGCAGACTTTTAAAGGACATGTCTCAACCACGCAGTTTCGCGTAGTTCATATCCACAATGGATTTGTTCCTGTTCGATTGTTTGATTGCTTTGATTGACATGAGAGGGAAAGACCACATGTCATCCAATAAACTAGTAACAATCGGGGATAGTAAACGTTTTTTTAGTTTACTTTTATTTCAACGCTCGACGCGTCCTTTTGTCTGGGAAACAGTCTCTTACCCTTTTCTTTTTTTTTTAAACCAATTTATCAGATTCCTCTCTTGCTTCGCCCTTCTCACCTCCTCCATGCCACCAAAACGAGCAAAGACTGTGAACGGAGCAGTTACGACTACCAAGGTAAATGAAGCTAAAAAACTAAGCAGTAATCGATTAGATTGTAATCACCTCACATTCTATAACTTTTTTTTTTTTTTTTTTTAGCGCATCAAGGGCAACCCAAGCTCACCCAGTGACTCTGATTCTGAAGTAGCGAGTAAGTTTACGATGAAATGAATAACTCAAAAGTAAAAAAAAAAAAAAAAAAAAAAAAAACAAAGCTGATCTCATCTTATTCATTCTATTTAGCAAAAGAACAAAAGAAGACAACAGATTTATGGACCTTACCCAAACAGAATGGACTGGACCAGGAAGACGAACTTGTGATTCCTAAACGATATAGGACTCAAAAACAACAACCTATGCCTAAAAAGAAAGCCTCAGCTTTGTCTTCAACAACTAAAGCTACATCTATAACGACAACTACAGCAGCAGCAACACCAAAGTTTCAGGACTCCTATACCAAACCGCAACAACAGCCACAAGCAACATCTGTCTTGAGAAACGCAAAGTCTATCAGCTCTTTAGAAAATCAAGAAAACCAAATTTTAACAACAAATAGTGCTGAGAAAACCATTGCAAAACCAAAAGACAATGGAGTAGGAAAGATACCCATCAAAACTGGATTGTCCATGTCGTATGAACAGGTAATAAATACTTTTTCTTTTTTTTTTAGAAAAAAAAAAAAAACAAGGATCGGTGTGATCCATGCAGTTAGTTGTAATCCATAATGGACTATCTCTGATAAAATTCTTTCTTTTGTACAAAAAAAAAAGCTTGAAGCTGCTTATCATGAGCTCAATACAAAGTACAAACGTCTGAAACAACTCAAGGAAACCGATGCAGAAAAGAATTTGGAAGATTATCGTGCAAAACTCGAGGAAGCAAACTGTAGTGCTGAGAACTATCGTACCCGGATTGAACCACAGCTGGAGTGTACGTCTATAATTAATACGGAGAAAGCCCTCTCTCTATGACGACCAACGTTTTTACTTACTTCAGCCAAATGTTTTATGTATTAATATACTTCATAGCTGCACTCAGGACGCAGGAAAAATTACGCGACAACAACGAGGTGCTGAATGCAAAAGGTATAGATATATTGATCAGAAGTATTTTTTAACAAAATAATCTAGCTGCTCAGTATCTTCATTTTAACTTTGATACCGTTTGCATACTATTATTATACTGGCACTATGCTTTTAGTCCGCACTCTTCAACGTCAGCTTCGGGAATATGAGGAAAAAATTAGACAACGTGAGTTAGAGGACAAGGCCAAAGCCAAAACAGCATCTTTAGAATCAATACTTGCTAGCCCTGAAGTGACTCCAACGTCTACTGGTGTTATGAGCACGATCAAGATGTACGAAAATCTGAGTGGCCTTAAGGTCATCCCACAAGACATATACCCTCTCTCATCATCTAGAAATACACTACCGAAAGTGTGGGATTGTGAGCATTCTGGGCCTCACGGAAGTATGTGTTTTCAGAAAGGGGTATCTCTTCAATGTGATGGCTTTTTTTTTTTTTTTTTTTTTTTTTTTTTTCCTGACATCATTTATTTTCTTCTTTCTTTTGCTTTAGCTTTATGCTTCACTTTGACCTACGACTATGAAAAGAAATGTGTATCGTATGAACCACATCTCGATGCAACGAGAGATGAAAAGTTGATGCAAGTTCTCCCTGAATATCTTACGACAGACATTGAGTTTGATCAAGAGTTCGAGAGCAAGTTCTTTTGGAGGATATTAAACTTCAATCATGAAGACTCCAAAGTCTAAAAAAAAAAAAAAAAAAAAAAAAAAAACTACCAGGTTGATAAAACAGATATCCTTGTGTGTCTCCCGTAGTTTATTAACAAATACCTTTTGTAGCAGTAATTACAGATCTATCATACCATCTACATGTATTAAATGCCAAAAAATATCGTTCTCTCATTGCAACAATAACTGCTTGTTTTCATGTAAGCAGATATTGTTGATCACCTTTTGTGACTGAAGGTAGCCATTTTTTTCTCCTCACCCTACTCATTACCATAATTGTGAAGGCCAAGAACCTGATTTTATCTTTGGAGCACCAGAATTCAAGGCAGCCTCTAGTCAAGTACACCATTTTCAGGATCTCACAGTAAAGGCAGCTCTCAGAGACAGGAAGCTTTAGAGAAAGGGCATCATCAAAAGCATCGATACAGTGTCTATAGTGAATGTGATTCTGCGCGTATCATTTCATTCAGGCCTTGGAAGTAAGGTCTCTGACTAGAGACCAATAGACAGCATATCATAAAAAAGATTTAAAAACTAAAAAAAAAAAAAAAAAAAAAAAAAAAATTAGCCTTGAGAGTGGTTACTTGTGGCTGATCTAACACGTCAATCAGTGCTGAAGCCGCTTATCATAGATGATAGAAACGGTCCCGAAGACACTAGATGGTGTGAACAAAGGGCTTTTTTTTTTTTTTTTTTTTAGTTAATAATTAAAAAATAAAGACTTGTTTGGAAATTTTATCCAGTGGAAAAGAGGGGCTTCATCAAAAGACAGAGGAGCAAAGTCTAGTACAAATATCTAATATGCAATGCCTTTTTGATTTCATAAAAGTCATTATAATTAGGAACAAGAAACGAGGCTCAAAAGGCTCGGGCAATGTAGTTCTTTATAATGACATTTTGGAGCAACTGAGCACGTTTTTTTTTTGCTTTCGAACTAGAGTGACCCTGTTAAAATGAGAATGGGTGTACGGTATACCGTAGATTTCGTCCACTGCACACAGATCACTTGGACCTTAAACAAAAAAATCGAATGGTCATGTACGACTACAACTAAACGTGTGCGGCGCTTCAAAAAAAAAAAAAAAAAAAAAAAAATCCCTCTGCAAGATTTGATCATGCAAACGCCACCTCCTTCATATCGTCATTGTCATATTCACATGCATTAATACATGAATATTCTTCACCGTCAAAAAAGCAGGGGATGTGTCCGAGTCCATTTAGCTCGATAGACTAAGAAAGAGGGAAGAAGTGGATCAGGTATCAGCAGCAAAGTAGCTCAAAAAACATGATGCTGATGAAGCAGCAGGACTAGAGAATAAAAAGGATTTGAACGCAGAGGACGGGTTCACAAGGGAATGACGACAGATCTCATGGCTAAAGCCAGTCTGAAGTGTTCAAAAATGACACGTGGAACTTTACAAACAACAAAGGATTCAACAAGAGTGCACATTTAGCCAAGGGATAAAAAAGAGGTTATATGTTTATACAAGGTAGCCATCATTAAGAGAAACCTGCAGAACTTCCTTCTGCATGTTGCATCGCCAATCGCCAAAGGAGAGGATAAAAAAAACAAAAAAATAAAAATCTAGATTGTTCGTTGACAGCCTTCGATTTACAAGTGACGAAAGAAGTGTTCGTAGAGGAGCGAAAGACCAAAACCGCAGTTTACACTTGTTGACGACCTGAAATGACCTCGGACTTTTAAAAAAAAAACGCACACCGATCACTGATAGACGCACAACGGCTATTTGGAGGTCTGCCCTTTTTATCTATTGGCTTTTTTTTTTTTTTGGTTCCTTTCCTATCTCTCTGACTTTGGTAATTTGACCGTTAATGATTGGATCTGTCTTCTTTTCAACAGCCCTGCAATGCTCGTCATTATGTCTTGTCTTTTTCTGTTACTCTATGCGGCGCAATAAAGACAATGAGTAGGCCAGGCGAAGGAGGGAGGATGAATGGTTTAATACAATCTTTACTATCTTTCACTTGATCTATTATTGTTCAATGTGTATACATGCAGTGTAGCAGATGCATTTTCACTATCTGCTTGTGCATATTCAATAAGTGGCAGTTGAGAAGTCATGATGCTTACTGAAAAAAGAACTTTAACATGAATTAGGGTATGATTAAGGAAAACCCCTCATTTCATTATATGCTAATAAAGTACTGATGTGAAAATAGAGTTCTACCAGTTTGTATTCGACGAAGAGAAATGGTCAAAAAAAAAAAAAAAAAAAAAAATCCCTCATCCCCATCACTAACCATCCCATGAGCACAAATAAATAAAAATATAAAAAAAAAAAAAAAAAAAAAAAAAAAGATAGGAAGGTTGTAATGGATCAGTTTTTTATTTTTCTGCAGTGGAAATTGGATGTAAGATTTCTTGATACGTATGAGGTCTATTGACATTGAGGCAAAGACCAGAGACCAGAGAGCGGAGCAACGCACAGAAAAAAAAAAAAAATTAAATATGGCCTATATTTACCACAAAAAGAAATAGAGAAAGCAGGGCCTTACCTGAGTGTAACTATATTCAGCATATACACCAAAGAAATAACATTTACCATTCAACTTTAAAAGAAAAAAGCGCAAAATAGACATGTAACTAGGATGTGTTTTATTTTTCTGGCACTGCACTGCGACACCGAATTTGAATAAATAGCCCACACCCCAATCACTCGCATCCTCATCATCGCTTATCTTCTCTCTCCTTCTCTCTCGTTCTTCTTTTTCATGTCACCCTAACGCTCTTTCTTTCCTCACACACTTTACGAACCATTCAACTCTTCCCTCTCTCTCTCTCTCCCTCTCATCTCTTCTCTTCTCCTTTCTCCCTCTCTTTTCCTCTTGTGCTTGGTGTCTTGATCTTTTGTTCCTTTTAAGTTGACTCAAATAACAACCAACTACTGCCTTCAATAATCCACAAAAAATCAGATATGGCTTCAAACGATGCCAACACCTCTTCTACTCAAGAGGCTAAACTCGAGTTTAGTGAACCCCTGAAAATGACTAGGACCAGAACTCAGCCTGTAAAAAACAATACCCAGATGCCCGCTGCTACTCCATCATCTCACAAAGACAAGAGTAAGCAAGGAGCTAAAAAAGAAAAGTCTTTGGATATTGTAAGTTTCTTTTTAAAAAATAACAAACCCTCTCCTCTTCTAAGAAAAAAAAAAAAAAAAAAAAAAAAAAAAGACAGAGAGATGCCAACCATAGCATCCCTTTCATGATACTGCTTCATCACTTCAACGGTATCATGCTTTACAATACTGATTTTGGAGGCTGAATTACTGGTTAAAACGATGACTACAATTTTGACATGAGACGAAAATGATAAAAGAGGAAACGTCGCGCCTCCCATCTTCCCAATGTCCAAGCCCTCGAACTCCACCTATTCTTTTATTTTTGCTCTTTTTATTTTTATTTGTTATTGTGAGCTTAATATATTTTTGGATGATGGACTGTATGGACAGTTTACGCGTTTTCTGTCTTCTATTCTACATTATGTTTATGGGCTGCTCGCTCTGCTCTCCTCCTGCTTTGATAGAAAAATAAGAAAAAAACTAACTCTTCCTTTTCAAACATTCTTGTTCAATCCAATCGAAATTAAAATAGACAGAGCACTTGTTCTCCATAGAGGATATTGCAGCCCGTTACAGCGTCAGTGTCGATGCACAAAAGCCAGCTAACAGCAAGGGCCTGGACTCATCGGTGGCTGCTCAACGTTTAATCGAAAATGGACCTAATCGGTTGTCTCCTCCGAAACAGATCTCACCCTTCATGAAGTTTATGCATTGCTTGACTTCTCTCTTCAACTTGCTTTTGATCCTTGCTGGTATCCTCAATTATATCCTTCTTGCAGTTGACCCGAAGAATAACAAAGTGAACGTAAGTTTATGAGTGATTTTTTTTTTTTTTCCTGCTTTCAATACTCCCAAGGACCCAACGTCAATTGTCCTTGAGCGATTTTTTTTTCTCCTTTCATTTCCTTTGCTTGTTTGTTTGTTTGTTTTTTGAGTTATTTTTCTTTCCTCTGTCATTGTTTACAACCGAAGCTTTTTGCTTTTTTGTCCAGTTGATCCTCAGTTGCCCTTCTTGGACTCTGAAACCACACATGGATTAAATTTCTTTTTGTGTTCTTTCTCAGCCCTGTCGAATCAGAAGGGTCAAACTCTAATATCATGCTCTTTTTTTTTCTTCCTTCTCTAGACTTATTTGGGTGCCATTTTGATCATTGTCGCCTTCATCAATGCTGCTATCGAGTTCTATCAGGCTCAAAAGTCTGCTCAAGTCTTACAGTCATTCTTAGATCTCATGCCTCAAAAATCATTTGTGGTCCGTGATGGGAAATCAATCCAAGTCCCTGCATCGGACCTCGTATTGGGTGATATCGTCTTTGCACGAATGGGTGATAAAATCCCTGCTGATATCATGATCATCGGCTGCACAGACATGAAGGTCGACAACTCATCCTTGACCGGAGAAACTGATCCTCAAGACCGTAGTCCTATTAACGATCAGAAGAATCCTCTGGAAGCTCGTAATTTGGCCTTTAACGGCTCTTTGGTGGTCAATGGTGAAGGCTATGGAATGGTCATCAGGACAGGTGATAACACTGTGCTCGGTCAGATTGCTGGGTTGACTTCTGGAGAGGATTCTGGAAAATCACCTTTAACTCGTGAAATTGATGACTTTGTCAAGATTATTGCCTCAATTGCCATCACGACCGCTATTGTCTTCTTCCTCATCGGATATTTCGCTGTTTACCGCAGCCAAGGAAGCTCCGGTATCTCCAGTACTCTCAACTTTGCTATCGGTGTCTTTGTGGCCTGGGTTCCTGAAGGTCTTCCTGCCACCGTCACCATGTTGCTTACTATTGCAGCAAAACGTATGGCCACACAAAACGTCTTGGTCAAGGATTTGACAGGAGTAGAGACTTTGGGCGCTATCACTTTGCTCGCCACTGACAAAACTGGAACACTGACTCGCAATCAGATGACTGTCACCAATATCTGGTCTTCTCTTAATATGTACTCTGCTTTCCGCAGTGCCGCCAGCGCTGGAAAACCCTTCGATGCAAGCTCGCCCGGTATTCCTGAAGTCCTTGCGATTGCCTCCCTCTGCTCTCGTGCAAAGTTTGATCGTACCGATGTCCCCATCTCTGAGCGTCAGGTCTTGGGTGATGCTACCGAATCTGGCTTGACTCGTTTCGCTTCGGCCAACATTTCCAACTTTGATGACTTGAACGATCTCTATCCCAAGGTCTTTGAGGTCCCCTTCAACTCTGAAAACAAATGGGCAATGACTATCCACCACAAAGAGCACACCAATGGCAAATTCACGCTTTTGATGAAGGGAGCCCCTGAGCGTATCCTGCGTCTCTGCAGCACCATCTTGATTAACGGAGAGGCAGTGCCTTTGACAGAGGAGCACTCGAAGGCCTATGATGAAATGTATGCACTTATGGCCTCGAAAGGTCATCGTGTCCTTGCCTTTGCTCAGCTGTTGCTGCCCCGTAACCAATACCCCGATGATATTGTCTTTGAGAAGGAGAAGAAGAACTATCCTACCACTGGTCTTTGTTTTGTCGGCCTAGTCTCTCTAGAGGACCCTCCTAAGCATGGTGTTCGTGAAGCTATCGGTCGCTGCCGTTCTGCTGGTATTCGTGTAATGATGGTGACAGGTGATCATCCCTTGACAGCTGAAGCAATTGGACGCAAGATTAATTTGGTTTTATCGGACACAAAAGAGATGGTGGCCAAGAGCCGCGGCTGCTCGATCGATGAAGTCGGCGATGATGAGTACAACGCCATTGTGATCCATGGAGAACAAATTGACTCGTTGACACCTCAGGACTGGGACTTGATCTTCTCTAAGCCAGAAATCATCTTTGCTCGTACATCGCCCAAGCACAAGTTGCAGATTGTGAAGCATGCTCAGTCCATGGGACACATTGTCGGCGTCACCGGTGATGGTGTCAACGATTCGCCTGCTTTGAAGAAGGCGGATTTGGGCATTGCAATGAACATCTCTGGATCCGACGTCTCCAAGGAAGCTGCTGCTATGATTTTGTTGGATGATAACTTTGCATCCACTGTCCGTGGTATTGAGGAAGGCCGATTGATCTTTACAAATTTGAAAAAGTCAATTCAGTACACCATCTCTCACTCGATGCCCGAGGTTGTTCCCAACTTGCTCTATGTCATTGCTTCGATTCCCTTGCCTATCTCGGCCATGTTGATCTTGGTCATCGACCTTGGATTCGAACTGTTGGTTTCACTCACCTTTGCCTGGGACAAGCCAGAGACAAGCACTGGTCTGATGAAGCTGCCTCCTCGTAAGCCTGTCACGCCCGCATCGGTTGAACGTCGCCGCCGTCTAGCCACCCGTGCTCTCCCCCCCGTCGTCGATGCAGAGTCTGGTGAAGAGATCAAACCTTCATTCATGGCCCGTTTCAAGCACGACTTTAAGGCCATGTTCACCTCCGTCTACTGGCGTGAGAAGTTTGAGAGCACTGAAGACGAAGTCTTGGTCGACGCTGGACTTCTCTCCTGGGCTTATCTTGAGATCGGTATCATTGAGACCATCGGTGCCTTGGTCACCTTCTTTGTGGTTTTCTACAAGGAAGGTAATATCACTCCTGCACAAGCTGTCCAGATGCAAAAGGAGAATCTATTCTCGGCCGAATCTCCCGAATTTAATCGTAATCTGCTGGCTCAAGCACAATCGAGTTTCTACTTAAGTATCATGATCATGCAGTTGTTCAACCGATTTGCATGCATGTGCCGTTACCGATTGCCCTTTGGAAAGTACATGTTCACGAACGCCCGATCATTCTTGGGTATCATTGCTGGTGTCGCTCTTGGATTCTTTATCGTCTACACCCCTGGAGTTGAGACCGTGTTTGGAACGTCCAGAGACACAAAGTTTGTCTATTTATTGATCCCTCTGGCCTTTGGTGTCTTCATCATCTTTTACTCGACCATGCGTACACTTCTCCTTAGGAAGTTCAAGCCCACAGCCTTGAATGAGGAGATCATTGGTTTGAACATGGTCCCAACCATGAAGACCATGTTTAGCAGAACCTTCAGCAGGACAAAGTCGATCCCCGCTAACAGGAATTAGAAAAGTTTACTCCCTTATCATTTTACATCTGTATTGTATATCATGCTTTATTTTATTCAAACCTCCAACCAATAATAATTAATAAACAAAGTTTTCCATTAAAATCATTTTCTATACACAGCTTAATTACAAGTACAAAAAAAAAAAAAAAAAATTTACAAAAATCAAAAAAGGTGACACTAAAAGAGATTAAGTCCTGTTGTATGAAAATCCACCTGTAATAGTCGAAGCTGAGGAAGATGAGGATGTGGATGAGGATGAGGATGAGGATGAGGAGGATGAGGATGGTCCAGTAAAGTTAGAGGATGTTGTTGTAACCTGTGGCAACGACGTTCTTCGAGCCAATGGGATCGGTATAGCCGATCTCGAAATTGTCCATGAGGATGCTGGAGAAGCCTGTTTACGTCCTGTTTGGATACCCGATACCCCTGATATGGAAATGGGTCGTGTGTTTGTCATCCTACCACTAGGGCTGGGGATAGAACTAAAAGATGCTGAAAAGTTGGCAGCTCTCCTTGCTGCGGTTGTTGCTGAGGAAGAAATGGAAGATGGGGTCGATGATCTTTTCGCCTTAGAATCCCCTACATCACTGCTATCCTCGCTGGTATTATTATATGTTGATGATTTCCCTGTAGTGCTGCTGCTGTTACTGGCGATGGAAATGAAAGAGGATCGCGTCTTTGCATCCTTGTTAAGCATGTTAGAGCTGTTGGATATTGGAGACTTTGCATTTGTCTTTGTAATCACATTGGAAAGATCTGCAGAACTCGTGGCGGATAAGAGATATTTAAGACCTAAGATGCCCTGAGAACCCATGACAGCACGTCGTGCTCCAGGCGACGAGGTGGGTGATGAAAACGAGGCGCTTACATTTTCAACCCCAACCTTGGAAACTGAACCCTGATCAGGCCCTGAAGGGGCAAAACCAACGGTTGCACCGGATTTCGTGGTACTGTCGCCCGTTTTTGATGATGACATCAAAGCATTCATACTCGAAGCCGAAGTCGATGCTCTTTGGTTTGCAAGAGTCATCATGCTGAGGGTCCTCCCAATATCTCGGAGTGAAGAAGATGTGCTCTGAATGGGACTTAGCACAGTTGTGATACCAACAGCACTAGTGCCCTTACTCCATGAAGGCTTATTCGGCAGAACATTTTGTAAAATATTATTTTCCTCCAGCCGCTGATGTAGCTCAGCAGATAATGAGGATCTTTGAGGGGGCGATTGAACCGATTCATGCTCATCACTGCTAACATCATTCTCAAATGTTGTTCGGTTTTCAATCGCTGCAAGTTCGCTAGCAAGAGATGACGTCGCTTGCTCTGCTCTGAGCTCCTGATCTAGTGGTATTCCATATCCATGGTATTCAAGGTCTTCATCCATTTTTCGAGACAGTCCTGTTAGTCCTCGGTCTAGCGTTAGGGAGGTATCAGCCAGTTCCTGTTTCAACCCACGAGAGGCAGCTGATAATCTATGGTCCAGATTCAAGGATGTTTTAGCTTCATTATGGCCGAGCTCCATGCCAAGTGAGTTGCCTTGAGCTGTATTCAAAGATAAATCATCAAACATTGGATCAAGCTCTTTTGCAGTCTTCGAATCCCTATCGCTATGATAAGAAGTATCGGAGTTCTGAGCAGTGGCAGAAAGCTGCCGTGGGATCCTTGGTCTAGAGGCTGCAAACCCCAGCATATGATGTTCGGGATCCTCTCCTGTTTGGTTATCCCAGATCGCTGCTTGTGGGCCTCGCGTGGACCATGCGCCTCGCCCTTCTAAATCCGATTCAATGCGCAGAGTATGGATCGTCTCCTGAGCCTCCTCCAGTAATTGGGCATACTCTCTCGTGTTTGTCATCATTTCCATGACTTTGCCCTCACATTTCAGCTGACGCGTCTCGAGCTCCTCCAGTGTCATGCGCATTGTGTCGCTATCAGAGAAGACCTAGTTCGCGGGATCGAGACAGGAGTGATGTTGGAGAAGGAAAGATAAGGGGTCCCCATTGTTAACTGGTCTGTAGTAGCTTTTTTTTTTTTTTTTTTTTTTTTTTTCTTCGTTCAAACATACCTTGCCAAGATCAGATTGAATCATTTTAACCGCTTGAGTTGTAGTAGAGTGAGTCTGTTTCTGCTTTTGCAACGCGTTATCGAGCTGAATTTGTAGGTTCACATTCAATTCCTGAGTGGATGCCAGTTCCTGCTCAACCTCTCCTAGCCGCCGTGCATATGAATTGACTTTGTTCTTTGCATCAAACATCTCAGAACTGATCTCGGCCATATGTTCCGACAATTCATCCAGCTCCTTACGAAATGCCTTCAGCTCTTGTCGGCACGTATCCAATTCTCGTTGTAAGAAACGATTGTGTCCTGTCAGTTCCTTAACTTCATGTTCAGAGTTGGCGAGCTGATATTGTAACTCTTGCGAGAGACTTGCTTTGGATTGAAGGACATGATTTTCATCTTGCAATGACTGGATCTACAATCATATCAAATAAAAACAAAAAACAGAAAGAAAAAGAGTAGAACTGAGCATGAAAGTGAAAAAAAAAAAAAAAAAAAAGGCTGTTCTCGTGTTGTCATAATAAAATGAATCAGTACCTGTGCACCCATTTCTTGTTCTTGACGTTGTATCTTTTGATGCAAATCCAATCCCAAACGAGCAGCTAGATCTAAATTAGAGGCAAGCCCGATTCGTTCCTGCTCCTTTTGGATCAATAGTTGCTTCAAGATATCTGCGTCAGTAATTTGATGGATCTGAGATAGCAGATCGTCTTCGTATTCCTGCTCGATATCATCGAACTCCTTGCCTAAGGAAGAAAGCAAATAAAATAATAAAAAGATCATGTATAGTTCAGAGCTCATGTTCTATTTTATTATCTTTTGTGATACCCCTTTATTCATGCTAGGGAATAATGATCAGATGATTCGGCTGACAATGTCGTCTGAAGTCATCTTCCTTGGGATCCTCCCTCTTCTCTTTCTTCCCCCTTTTTTTATTTCTACGAACGATGATGAACTCGGTCGACATTTAATACCCTTACCCATGTTCCGCCTTATTGAGCCGTCGTTATCCTGATTAATGTAAATGTCGTCGGCCGATTGAATGTATGGAGGTGGGATATTGCTCTAATAAAAAAAAATAAAAAAAAAAAAGGCGAAAGGGGTTAAGAAATAAGGAACGCAAGGCCAAGAAAAGTAAGAAGAAAAAAAAACTTTGATGATTGGATGCAATGATAGAGAATGTGTGACTGCAGTAAGATGGGGGGATCTTGTGAAAAAAGTCTTTGTCGCACAAACAGGACAATCGTTCTTCAAAAAAAAAAAAAAAAAAAAAAAAAAACCGCTATTTCCGGTCATATCTCTTCTTTGCTCCGAAAGAGAGAGAAAACACGGCTTTGTTGTTGAAGAGAAAAAAAAAAGAAACATCAACTTTCAAGTGCAAACACACATTAGCAGCTTTAGATATTTCGACGTGTGCATTTGACGAAGGAAGCAAACTGCCCTGATCCATGCAAAAACTAAGAAATGAGGGAAGGGAAAGGAAAAGGAAAAAGGGAAAAGGGAAAAGGAAAATGGGAAAAGGGAAAAGGAAAATGGGAGGAAAAGAAGGGAATAGGGAATAGGAAAAAGAGGGAAAGGGATTATATTAAAGTGATACTTTTCGTTGCATGAATGAAGATCCGATCCAATTTGGTATTCTATACCTCGTATGAGTGGTTTTGGTTATGAGTGAGATGTGCTGGCTTGAGCATGCTTTATCAGCAGAATGTATGATGTGTGATATATGATATACTATGGTATGGTATGGGTATGGTATGATATGGAGAAGATAGAATATCTAGTAAAAAGAAGATAGAGAGAAGAAAGAGGAGAGAGAGAGGAAAGAGAGAGAAAAGAGTGATTGACTGACTGACTGACTGGCTGACTGACTGAAGGAATGGATGCAAAAGGAATCAGGAACCAAGAGAATTGAGATGATGTCTGTTTGTTTATGATTTTGTCAATGGCAGTGAAGAGAAATGGAAAGACAAATGTGAGAATGCGAGAAAAAAGAAACGCGTCAGAAAAAAGAGAGAGAGAAAGGAAAAGAGAGGAGGAACATGTCACAATGCATGCATTCATGTTAACCTTTGTTGTCCATATCTGTGTTTGTGTGTATTTGCACCACATTCAAATGATTTTACCACTACACTCACCTGGCTTTTTGACTTGCACCTCTCTTCAGCTCATCTCCAAATGCTCTTGGCTCAATTGGCTCAAAAAAATGTATGAGGTAAGCCATCAACACTTGAAAACACATGTCCATTAGACGCGTCTTCTGTTATCCAATGTCCCGGGCTCTGCTACCAATGCGTTACACATTTGCAGTATATTATAGCAATGCTTTTTTTAATATTATTATTATTATTATAATCTTTAATAACTAAACTTCTTTTATCTTCTTTTTCCTAGTCTTTTGCCTGCTAGTCTTCTTTGGCATGCTTTCTTCTTGTACCATCAGTTCCTGCACTGTCAAAAGGCCATCGTAAAACTGGGCTACACGTTCATGTGCCTGAACCGATCGCCTGCTGAAGTTTAACACTTGTAATCCAGCAAGCGATGTCGCACGCGATAGGGCCACATAAGCCTGCCCAACTTCAAAGATCTTGCCCATATCAACCTTCACTCGCTCCATAGTCTGGCCTTGAGATTTGTGGATACCTTTTTTTTTTTAAAAAAAAAAAAAAAAAAAAAAAAGCAATAATAATGAACCATAGATTAGTTATCAGTAAGACTAAAACCTTGGCCAATTCCAACTTAATTGCGGCTATAAAAAAAATAAAAAATAAAAAGGAGAAAAAGAAGAAAAATAAAGGAAAATAAATCAAGTAAAATAAGCATTCAATTCATGTACTTACTCATAGCCCACGACAAGATCAAGGGGATCTGGATTCGAGAGGCAATGACCTCGCCATTGGGCAGTTCCATTCTCCACTCCTCTGGCCTAATCACCAAATCATCTTCTTCGCCCTGGAAGCGAACCACAGGAAAATGACTCTTATTCCATTGGCCAGTCTCGTCATCATATAACATATCCTCCTCGAAACCCACAATTAAACCCATTGATCCATTAACTAGAGTCGGTGTCAGGTTCTTGATCAACATAACCTGTGCATTCTCCTTCAGCAGCAGCTTCGAAGAGGCTATGCATGCCCTATCCATAACTGCTTTCAGTGGACCATCATCCTTTGGCTCATAAACATATACAGGCCCAGGTAAACTAGACAAGTATCGATGATTTGCCTCGTCCACCTGCCGTCTCAACGCAAACAGCTCTGTCGCTCTGATGCCGTCATCTGGATAATTGGGTGTCCGCTCTAATTGCTTAAAGATATCACAAGTCTCCTTGGATAGTTTTCCATGTCGCATCTCTGTCAGCATATTGATAAATACTGGATCACGCTGACGGAACACCTCTGTAAGCTGCAATGTCCTTTCAATACATGTATTCCAAGTCTTGGCATCAAAACAAAGTTTTAGCTGTGCTTCTGTATTTATGGCCTGCCCAGAATCATCTTGCACAGGCGCTGCGCCAACGTTAAAATAGTTTTCATTATATCCTATAAATTCGCTCTCATAGGGATCAAACTCAAGTCCATTGTCGTCATCAGGTTTCGAGGCCCGTTTGATAATAGTAGTGGTGGAGCTTGATCCTCTAATACTAGGGATAAGCGTCTTTGACCTTGTACTAGTTGGTGACGGGTCGAGTGAAAAGGTTTCCTTAACAACTGGAGGTAATTGGAAAAAGTCACCAGTAATGATCAACTGCAGCAGCAAAAGTAGAAAACGCGAACAAATAAGCACCTCATAGCTACTGCTTGTAACAATTAAGAGATACAATGCAACAAGCTCAATTATACCTGAATCCCTCCAAATGGCTTATCGCTCTTCTTCATCTTCCTTGCAACCTCTTCCAATTTGTCAAATAAGTCTCCGTCAATCATTGATACTAAACCATAAAAAGGAGCGTCAGGCTGTCAAATATTTTTTTTTCCTTTTTTTTTTCTTAAATCTCTTTATCATACATTTACAGCAATTTGAGAATTTAAAGAGACTAAGAAAGATCTTTCATTTACCTTCATCAATGATCAGCACTTTAACTTTCCTCCATCGTGCACGTGCTCTCCTATTTCCCTCCAACTTGCTCAACAACTGTTTTACTGTACCGGTCCCAAGCCCAACGCCCGCAAATGAATGCAATGTACAGCCTCCAACATTACATGCCGCAATACCTGTTGATGCTGTCACGGCCACTTGTCCCGGTTTATAGACTTCCTTGAGCTCTTCAATCAGCTGGCGGAGCAAAACCGATTTTCCTGTCCCTGCAGATCCCGTGAAGAAGACTGATTTCTTTTTGTTGATCACTTGATCCAAGAGAAACCGCTGTTCTCGAGACAGTTCCAGCGGCGCCTGCGCCATAATGGAACTGTTCAAATCAGTGCTGTCCAAGATTGACGGAAATGATGAAGTAGATGATGAGGCCATTAAAGTTGGCGTGAGTTTCTGGAGTGTGGCCGCAGCAGCAGCAGAGGAGTATCTTTGAGAACAACCATCATTATTAACGATCCATCTCCCTCCTCTTCTTCTTCCTTCTCTTTGGTGTTCAAGCGTCTGACTAGAGGCCAAAGGTATTGATGCCCAGCTCAGTCTTTGCCTTTGGCGATCCTTATAGACGCTGCTAATCGCAATGTGTCTGCTTTGCTGCAATTTTATACTTTGACAATATATTGGTTGAAGCAGGCTCTTGCTCCTGACTAACGGCTGCTGTTGCTGTTGCATGTTTTTACTTGCCAACACATGCAACCTGTGGGCTTTGTAATGTAGACATTGCATTCGTCCTTGGACATTCCCTCGAGCGAGAATGAGCGGTTGTCTGAAAAGACTCTCCATTATTGAAGGAACAGAGGTATAAAAAAAAAAAAAAAAGACTAAAGTTCAAGCAACAAAAGGAAATAATATTTATTGCAAAATAAATAACAAGGCCAGTCACTCCCTGACGCGTCAAGATGCAGCAAAATTGAGAGCATTGGCAGCACCTGCAAGAGCAAAGACAGTCCATGCGAGACAATATCCAATTTCGCGTATCCCTGATACGGCCTCTCCCACGATTCCTAATTGTCTCATAACGTCATTGAAATAGCTCCATCGGAAGAGTTGTGATACTGCTAACCCAACAAACAACGTGTGCAGTCCAATACGTGTAAAACCTGTCAACTCAAGTAATACGAGAAATATCATCGTCATGGGCGCCACGGAGGTAAAAGCCTTCAAAACTGCTTCAAAGGAGTTGTTATAATGATAATTTTGATGCTCATCTTGATGTAGGCTGCTGCTGCTACTTCTGCTGCTGTCATGATGGCCTGTATTACCATCAAAAGACCAAACAATGGTAACAAACGTCTAAGGCAGTTAGATATTTAGTATGAAAAAGATTTAAAAAAAAAAAAAAAAAAAAAAGTTTGGGCTTACGATAACTATGCTTTCCATGCTTGCTACTTTGGTCTTCAGCTAACTCAGAATCAGAACCATGGCTGCGGTTGTGGCTATGATGAAGCTCACGTGTAGTCAGCTTGACACCACCATGAGTAGCGCTCTCGGCACAACACTTGCGACGTAACCAGATCTGACGAACTAAGAATAACAAGTATAGTGCTGTCACAGCACCGTACATCGAGCTAGGCTCATGATTACCACTTGATGATGTAGTGGTGCCGCTGTAACTTCCAAACAAGGTGTTCCTGGTGCCACTCAGCAGCTGCATGTACGAATCATGGACCTTGGTCAGTGAGGAGACTGGAGTGGTAGTACCCCACATAGCGCCGAGTGAAGCTGTAGCACGATCATACCCCTCCGAGGCTTTATCCTTGACTTCACCCAACTTACGGCTGGCATCTTTGCGCAAGCCCTCTCCAGACTGAGAAGCCTTCGCAGCAGCTGATGAGACTGATTTAGAAGCATGATAAGAAATGGATGAGCCTGATTGTCTAACAACCTTGGCTGCAGCTTCCAACTTGGCCTTAAGCTGAGCAGTTCCTTTGTTGAAAGTCTCGATCGCGGCATCATATGAATTCTTGCGCGCAGTCTTCATTTTAGCCTCGGTCTCTTTGAGTGCGTTGGAGAATGAGGACGCCGCATCATGGATGGCTTTTTGAACCTTGGCCTTATCTGCGCTTGCATCGCGCTTAGCGTTCTCGAGAGCCTCTTCGATATTGGAGCGTGCAGCGCTGGCAGACGTTTGCAGTTCGGTTAAAAATGCTGTGTAAGCATCTGTACGAGACTTCTTTACACCCTGAACTGCATCCTTGAACACACGGTCGTATTGATCTTTCAGATCGCCTGTACTATCAACCACAGCATTCCACTGTGAGGTCAGCCATGATTCCGTCTGCTCCTCGTAATACTTGGCCTCATCCAACTTGGCTTTGATCTTGTCAACCAATGAATCTAAATCCCCTACAGCCCCAAGCTCATTGCGAGAGATACGATCTAGAGCGCTCTGATAGTAATCCTTGACAGACTTCATATCGTATGATGTAGACGAAGATACATCCTTGGCTTTTTGCCCAGCCTGGTAAAAAAGGCTCTCAAGGATGCTTTGGACCTTATCCGAAGAGACATGCTTTTTGGGCAACGCCTTGAGCATATTATTGTCATATTTGTGATTGCTAGGACGCTCCCAGATCTCGCGGCAGTCCCAGCCAGAGTCGGCAGCGGGGTTCTGGCGTGAGAACCAATATTGGGAGCTAGGGCTGCAAGCATACTTGGGTGGGTTGGATGCCAAGGAATCGACCGCGGCCTTGAATTTTTCCCAATTCTTGTGAACTACATCTCCCACTTTGTCTCCCAAATGATGCTTCTCGCTCACTTCTATTTGAGTGGAATCCGATTGCTGGAACCAATGGGTACGTGCCTTCTCGAGAGCCTCCTCATGAATTCTCTCAGCTTTCGCCAATGCGTCACGATAATTTTGTTCTGCGGCCTCATATGCCTCGCGGGCCTCTTTCTTGTAGCCAAAAATTGCCCACTTTGCCTCTTTGGAAGTTGCATCACGAGCCTCTCTTGCCTTAGTCACGGCTTCCTTGGCAGCCTCTTCTGCATCCTGGGTGAGAGACTTCCAGTAATCATAGGCGCGACGCATCACACTATTAGCCTCAAAATGAGGAGGATGATGTGCCTGCTTCTCCTCTTCTTCCACATTTTCGTCGGAGTACTCGGTAGTATGGAAAGGGAACCAATAATCTTGAAGAGTCTTTTTCATGCCATCGACAACACTGTGCGACCCATGATGACCTTGGCTATCGTATTCATTGTCCGAAATAGTCTCCTTGTCCTCAGAGATTATGGTGGTCGTATGGACAATGGTGGTAGTTTTATCGCTCTTGAATGCGCGAGTAGTAATAGATTGTTCTTTCATGGCTATTATTAAAAGAATAAATAAAAAAAAAAAACTTTTTTAAAAATCGGTTGAACGATTGGTCTGGTTTTGGTGAGCCTATAGCCTTCGTTAGAGGCAAACTTGAAGTTGAGATGAATTTAAAAAAAAAAAAAAAATCTGAGTCGTAATAAAGAAAAGAGAAAAAGAAAAGACAACTCCATGTCAAAAAGCCCAATACTATTACAGAATACGAATAGAATACAACTGAAACCATAAGAAAAAAAAAATAGTCGTTACTAGCACAGTTTGGAATGTGGCGTTGTAGAACCAAATGCTCGATATCATAAACCAATGCGAATATCTGTTATGAAACGTGTACTCTTCGACAATTAAACAATCGAGTGAGGGATTCTTTTGGGACATTCCTTTTCTACTTCAAAGCAACAGACGAGATCGCAAAGGAAATAAATTTATCGCACCGAAACATAGGCAATCATAGTCGATTACTCCATATGTTTCTAAACTTAGGGTTTATGAGAAGGGAATCCAATGTGCTGACTCTGACTCGAAAAATCCATGCGCCATGCAATATGCAAGGTGAAATAAGCAACTGAAGTCATTGTTCCTGGGACCAAGCACGTAATTAAACAAATTTTGGTGTTTCCTCCTTTACTCTATGATGCAGTTCACCTCTTATTGTTCACTTTGGGCAAAAACGCAAAAAAAAAAAAAAAAAAAAAAAAAGCTCATGCATTCTCCTGCCAATTAGAAGAGCATTATCCAGTAATGGTAACAGAGGAAACGATATTGGCGAGAATAAATAAACGCTGTTCTCAGACAGATCAGACAGGGGCAAAAAAAAAAAAAAAAAAACAAAAAGTAAGGTTAATGTTACGATTGGTGCCTCCAAAGGAACAAAAGAACAATGTCAAAAACGTATCATAGTGACGACATTGAAGGCCATTTCTTTTCTGTTTTCTCCTCTTAACTGTTAAGGAACAGAGCCTCCATTGGTTCAAATACTTTCGTTGGACAAAAAATAAAAATGAGGCGTCGCGTCACTGTCCACGGATGAATGCGTCTTAACAACTGAAACAGTGTTGATGTGTTCCTGGACTTGACCTGATTTGTATAAAACTAACTGATAGTTTTCTTATCCTAATTTTTTTTTTTTATTCCCCAATTTCAACGCAACAACCAACGATCATCACATCTAATACCATTAACTCTACACAACACATAACAGGCATATTTCTCTCACGCGTACCGAAAAGAAAATAAATAGAAACATGCCTGGAAAACATGAGAACGTTACAATGTTCCAGTTCTTTGAGTGGTACACTCCTGCAGGTTAGACCTTTAATGCTCATCAAACAAAAAAAAGCCCTGCAGATTTACTAGAAACTGGTCTAAATCAAAATTCTACATGCATGTACTTTTTTAAAAAAAAAAAAAAAAAAAAAAAAAAAAAAAAGATCAAAAGCACTGGATCCGTCTCAAGGAACAAGCTAGCTTGCTGAGCACTCTTGGTCTCACTGCCGTTTGGGTTCCACCACCCACCAAGGGCAGGTAGGATGGATTTATTATTACAATCGATTCCTCTATTGAAAGAACAAATGCTCTATTCAAAGGCAAATGTTAAAATACTCTTATTGTTATTATTATTATTATTTTTTCCATAAAAAAGTTCTGCTGAAGATGTAGGCTATGGTGTCTATGACCTCTGGGATATGGGTGAATTCGATCAAAAGGGCACAATTGCGACCAAGTATGGAACCAAAGACGAGCTCAAGGCCGCAATTGATGAATGTAGAAACTATGGTATCCGGGTCTACTTTGATGCTGTCCTCAACCACAAGGCCGCAGGAGATGAGACCGAGGTCTTCAAGGCTGTTGCGGTTGCTGAAGATGATCGCACTCAAGAGATCGAAGCACCTCACAATATTACAGCCTGGACCAAATTCATTTTCCCAGGCCGTAAAGGCAAATACTCCGACTTTGTCTGGGGCCACCAACACTTTTCGGGTACCGATTGGGATGCCAAGGAGGAGCGTTCTGTAAGTGGTTTTAAGAAAAAGAAAAAAGAGAAAAGTTATTAATTAATCCTATTAGTGTTTTAGTTTAAGTTTCATTCACTAATTTTTTTTTATTTTTATCAAGGCCGTCTTTAAAATCAAAGGAAAAAACAAAAGCTTCGCCGAAGATGTCGATGGTGAAAACGGCAATTTTGATTATTTGATGTGCTGTAACATCGATTATAAACACCCGGATGTTGTTGCTGAAACTAAACGCTGGGCATTATGGTATGTTTTTGTCACATTAATTACATTTCGACAAGAAAAAGAAAAAGAAAAAAAAAAAAAAAAAGCTCTACTCTAGGTCCGACTAACATCTTTTTTATAGGTGTGTAAATGAGTTTGGTATCGATGGATTCAGAATTGATGCCCTCAAGCATATCAGCGCGGGATTCATCGCTCATCTCTTAGACTATGTTAGGAAAGAGACCAACAACCCAGACTTCTTCGCTGTTGGGTATGTTTATATTTTTATAATTATTTTTGCTACAATTGCTGTTGTTTGCAATCGATTTCACCCTTGTTCTTAATCAATCTTTTTTTTTTTTTTTTTTCTTTTTTTTTTTGAATGAATGAATGACAACAATCATAGAGAGTACTGGAAGGAAGATGTCAATGATTTGAGGTCGCACTTAGAAACTAACGACAACATCCATCTATTCGATGTCCCACTGCACTACAATTTTGTTCGTGCAGCAAGTGAAGGTCCTTCATTCGACATGAGAACGATCTTTGACGGCTCCTTGGTTCAGTCAATCCCTCAGGCTGCCGTCACCTTTATTGATAATCACGACACTCAGCCCCATCAAGCACTGGAAAGCTGGGTCGAGCCTTGGTTCAAGCCTCTTGCTGCTGCTGTATGTTTTTTTTTTTTTTTTTTTTTTTTTTTTTGCAGCTTCTTTTACCCTTTTGTGTTTGCGATTGATTATTTTATTTTGTTATTCTTAAAATAGCTCATCTACCTTCGTTTCGATGGATTCCCCTGCCTCTTCTATGGAGACTTTTACGGCATCGAGGCCAAGTCCTCAGAGGGGTCTCATACTGCTATTCCAGGCCGTAAAGAAATGTTCTCGCGCATGCTCTTGGCACGTAAAGAGTTTGCATATGGTGATCAGAACGACTACTTGGATCATCCCAACTGCATCGGTTGGGTCCGTCATGGCGATAGGTACCATCCCAGAGGGTTGGCCGTCGTCATGTCCAACTCGAATGCCAAGGGTTATAAGAAGATGAACGTTGGTAGCCATCGAGCCGGTCAGGTTTGGGTTGATATGATGGGATATTGGAAAGATCCTGTCACGATCAAAGAGGATGGTTGGGCCAAGTTCTATTGCCATTCCGGTAGTGTCAGTCTGTGGGTTCAGAAGGAAGAAGACAAATCTTGGATTACCGTGGAAGAGTCCAGCCCTGAAGATCAAGAAAGACACGCTCGCGAAGAGGATTATGCTCGTGAGCATGCTAATGATGAAAGCGACGAAGAGGATGAGTTTGAGGCACCTCATCCTGATCTTCCTAAGCCATTGGATACCTGGGATCATCTCTTGGAGGATGACCAGCCTCGGCGTTAAGCAACTTTAAAAAAAGCTTGCTTTCCTATACCCCTCTTCTACAGTCAACTTTAATCAACTTTAGATTTTTGCAATAAAACAGTAAAAGCAAGCATCTTTGTCATAAGAAGTGCAAAAACATTGATGATGGTATCACTATATTTTTATTGTTTGCCCTGACTAACCTAACCAATGTAATCCTCAAACAGTTAACAGATATAGATTTTTTTTATTTTTTTTTTTTGCATTAAAATCAACGCCCAAGCTCTGGGAAAAGTTTTAAGACAACTTCTGCAGAGCATCGACGAGAGTAAGCATATCGGTCTTGATGCTCTGGGCATAGCGAACAACCTTATCCTTCGAGTCGAGCATCTCAATGCTCTCTGTGTATGCATTGTAACGGACAGAGAAGGGGCGGTTGAGCGAGTTGGCGAATTCACGGACCCTCATCTGCGCATCCTTGAATGACTCTGCAACAAAGTATACAGGTTGGTAGTCGGTGATGGGATACTTTTGCTGAGCAACCTTGACGGGCTCAAAAGGGCGGATCTCAGGTTTGTCGCTCAAGCAGTACTCCAATTCACCAAACGAAGACAAAAGACCGGCACCGTAGGCACGGATCTGATCACCCTGACGACAAATTCCAAACTCAACTGTAAACCAGTAAATAGTAGCCAAACGTTCAATATCTTCATCACTAGCACCAAGAGAGGCAAGACCAATCTCCTGAGAGAAATCAGCAAAGTCAGGATTGGCGAACAAGGGAACGTGACCTAGTAATTCATGGCAGACATCGGGTTCAGGGGTGTACAAGGGCTTAGAGTGATGGCGGATATACTGAGTCGAGTGGAAGACACGGAAGGCAAGACCATTCAAGAAATCGCGGCTAGTCAAGAGTCCCATGACAGGGCGAAGAGTAAAACCGGTGCAATCCTTCAAAAATTTGGAGACAACTTCAAGCTGAGGAATCTGGTGGGGACCATATCCACAGTTCTGAACCAACAGGGGGAAGACATGCTGGTGTTCTCTGCAGGCGTGAGTAGGGAACATGGCAGTCAATTTGTTGAAGACAGCACCCCAAGTGTCGATCTCAACCTGGGTGTAATCGATATGAGGGATAGGTTGACCGGTCTTGTAGGTCTTTGCAATCTTTGTGATCTCGGCACGGCGAGCACGATAAGCGGCATCCTTAGCACCGGGGTGGTCAGCATCAAGTTCCTCACCCATCTCAAGAACCTTGTCGGCAAAGGTATCGAGATCAACCATTTTGCGAGGGAACCAAGGGACGGATTCGGCCAATTCATCTAATATTTTGGTCCAAGTATGTGAGTGTGGTCAGTCGATGATGCAAATAAAGTATCATTTTTCTTTTGTTGTATTTTATGACCTTGTAGAGAAAAGGTGTTTAGAGTGTGAGAAAAATTAAAGGATGCTTGCCAAAAATGTTTAAGTGTGGATAAAAATGGATCGGTAAATAAATTTTGTGGGGCAAGGAACTTGGTTGATAAAAAGTAAAAACATACCATTACCACCAGCACCAACAATCTGAACCTGCTTGGCAATGGGTTCAAGAGACTTGGCGACCTTACGGACTTGATCAGCATCGGTAGCGTTAAAGTCGACAAAGAAGTCATAGTCCCACTCAGCTGTTTTGGAAGGACGACTGAAATCACATCAAGCAGTAAACAGGCCACTGTTAGAGATTATATAGTAATAGGAGACACATCAACTTTAAGAATGAAGATCTACAGAAAGAAATGACTTACGACTCAATGCGCGTGAGAGAGATGTTGTTGGCCTTAATGGCTGCCAAACAGTCATCAAGAGCACCAACCCTGTCGGTAATGGAGAAGTGGATGGTTGTCTTGCCAGGTGAGACAGTGGCATCAGTGCACTTGTGCAAGGCGTTACCAGAAACCATGTTGATTGTTGTCTGAGGTAGAGTGGAGGGTAGCTAGGTATGCGAAGGGCAGAGAGGTGAAGGGTAAAAATGAAAGTTGATGAAAAGAGAAAGAAAAAGAGAGGAGAAAAAGGATGTGTATTTATTTTGGGGATTCAGAGAGGAGAAACAAGCCATACGATTCCCACGGGAACACCTTGTCAATCTACACACAAACATTCCCCCGTGGCAAAAACATGATTTGATTCGTCTTAGTTTTTTTAAGACTTTGTACGCCCTTTTTCCGAATGCTTGTCCTTTGTTGTGCAACATGATACCATAATGTACATCATTAATCAAACTGGCCGTGGGGAAATTGTTCGTTTAAGGAAAAAAACAAGAACACTAAAAGGCCATCTATACAAGCCACATGGTAAGACAGAATGTTTTGGAAAATGAGAGTAAAATCAGATAAAAGCTTTTTTTTATTTTTTTTTTTTTTTTTGGCAACTGGGAACAGTACTTTGAATAAAAGGAGTAGAAGGGGCAGGTTACGCAGATTGCAACAGTCATCTTGTGCGGGATATTTTGTGAAATGTTCTCCATCAGTTTGTAGAAGCAATCTGACCTGAGTAAAAACATAACTCGTCGCTTCTAGCGCTCTAAATGGTTTCATTGTGCCCATCTGACACCACGTACTGAATGAAGCAGCGTTTAACTAAATGTTGTATATTTTCAGCCTGTCAGATTCTCTTTGGGCTGATCAGGTCTTTAAGTAGATGACATCAAATATCGTGACTTTACTGGATTGTGCCTATGCGGAGTAAAAAAACAGAACCCATGACTAGCATTGACTTTAATGATATTAACGATTTGTCCTAAGAGTAACGACATCCCAATGACAGCATAGTTTATCTTGACTTTGCGCGAGCCTAACATGTGAGGTGTATACAGAGAAAGACTAAAAAAAATAAACTGGTCCAGAGTTTTTTTAGATCTCATTTGTCTTCATTTGTAGGTTTGTAGACTGCTTGTCTATGAATATATCAATTTTCAAGTGTTGGAGTGAGATCAGAGTGGACGTAAGCAATGCAAACAATGCTGCATGAAAGGACAAGAGCCCAAGCTCAAAAATAGGTGTGCGAGTATAAACGGGATATGAACTATGACAGGATGTCGCAGGATCCGATAAAGTGGCTACTTGCTCTGTTCTAATAAAATGGTTAGAGAGGAGTACAAAATCTGCTGAAGCGCTTGATCGCAACGAAGTGAATGAAGGGTTTGTATTAATGAATAAGGAGATCATCCTACTATAACTGTACTAATAATGTCGCTAGGAGATCTTTACCTATTTCTTAGTCTACTATTGAAACAAAGAGTTGAACGATAAATGGCTCCCCGAAAATAAAATATAAGAAATAAGATAGATAAAAACATAAACGCCAATAATGAAAATATAAATCTACAACAGAGAATTTTCATCCCCAGTTTCGCCGACAAAGGCTCACTCCTCACAGAGGGTGTACATCCCAGCACGTACCCTCCAAAAATTTTTTAATCTGTAAGCAATCTTGTGGCATTGATGTCCTCTTTCCTTAAATCTTCCAACTTTGAACGCAGAATTGTCTTCTTTCTTCCTTCTCTTCCCCCCTCATCAATAAAGCAATCGATTGACAGTATCAACCCATTTCAACTGTACTATACCCTATACTTCTTCAATCGACTTGTCCTCTTTTCACTCATCCATCCATCCCCTCCTCATCCTATTCCCCATTTTCTGATCTATACTCTCTTTTTTTCCTTTACTTCAAGCAATCCTTCACACACCCACACCGGATACTCACCCAAATACTCTCTATACACTCTCCTCACATCGAATGCCCAGTGACACAAAATTGCCCACTAATGCTCGGGTACTCATTGTAGGCGCCGGCATTGGTGGGATCACATTAGCAGCATTACTTGAAAGAGCAGGGATAGAGTATAGGATTTTCGAGCGTGCTAAAGAAATTAAACCTCTTGGATCTGCCCTTAGCATCGGCTCCAATGTAATGCCGATCTTTGAGCAACTCGGTGTTCTGGATGAAGTTCTCAGGAACGGAAAGCCGTTTGGATTCACAACAGGTTACAACGAACAGCGAGAGGCAACTAGGATTTTGGACTATAGCCCCGCCGAAAAAATGTACAGATATAATTGATCTTAATATTCTGTCATTAATACTATCCGATACAGTTTTTTTTATTTATTTTATTTTTTTTTTTTTATTTTATTTAATTTGTTTTTTAACATTGGTTTTATGTTTATAGTGGTGGTTTCCTACCCCACATCATTTCACGACCGATTCTTTACGGAATACTGTTGAAATTGGTGCCTGCAGAAAAGATAAGCTTGTCCAAAAAAATTCTCTCGTTGCTTCAAAACAAAGACGGAGTCCTCATTCGTTGTAGCGACAATACATCGTACCAGGGTGAGATTCTGATAGGTGCTGATGGAGCCTATTCTGCTGTTCGACAAGCATTGTATAAGGACCTGACAAAGAAGGGAGAGCTTCCAAAATCAGACGGTCTACCATTACCATTCAACAGCACCTGTCTAGTCGGTCAAACCCGACCTTTGGATCCAGAACAATACCCACATCTTAAGGATTGGCATACCTGGTTTGAAACAACCATTGGTGAAGGCAAACCCTACGTAGTAAGATTTGCTTATATAACTTGATGTCATTAATGGACTTCTGTAGTGACCTGCATTGTTGACAAAAAACCTTTTGCCTTTCTCTTTGCATTTCATAAAAAAAAAAATAGTGGGTTACTTTCACAACTAAAGTCAACACGATATGCTGGATGGTCTTGAGGCATCTAGATGATCAAGTCTCTCGTGAACTCGATAGCTCATTCCGTAACACCGAGTGGGGACCTGAGGCTGCCGAAGCGATGTGTAAAGAAGTACGGGATTTCCCTATACCTAAAGGTACAATGACCATTGGGGATCTGATCGATGCCACACCTCCAGAATTGATCTCAAAGGTTATGCTTGAGGAAAAGATCTTTGACACTTGGTACGCCGGCCGAACATGCCTTCTTGGCGATGGTAGGTGAAACAGATGTTTTTATTGCTCTTAATACATGGTAGATAAGTGGTCAACCATCGTCTGTTTTAACCGTTTCTATGCATCTGCTAATAATCATTATATGCTATGTCTATTGAAAATACCTTCGCAAATTTCGTCTGTAATGTATCCTTGTGTTGCTTCACGATCCATGAACTATTACAAGCTTGCCACAAGGTATATAAGAACTGAAAACCAAAAACAAAGAGTTCTAGAACCCTTTCTAGCAGTAGACAAAACATAATCTAGAGCAGGGTCCCTATTTTATGAGCTTTTGCATTTGTTTCAGTCATTTAAGCGGGGTATAAAGAACTCTATCCATCCTGATTCTTCTCCAAAATGTTGACGCTCTCTCTCTTTCTTTTTTGTTTTTATAACCTTAGTTGTATCCAACTGCTGGTCTAGGTATGGTTATATATATCAGTTACATGCGCTTGTAACCATAATTTTTTTTTTACCCACTGTAAACAATGAAAAGCTTAATTGGTAGAAATTTCTTGATCGGCCCACATGGCAGGCACAATTATTATACATGTGTACTAATGTATCTTTTTTTTACATCTTGAAATAGGCGCTGTAAGTGCAATCCACGACGCCATTGTTTTGACGAACTGTTTATACGAGTTGCCTAATGATCCATCCATTGAAGAGTTACAAAAAGCTTTTCAATATTACAAAAGTGAGCGCTATCCTCTTGCTAAAGCTGCATATGATACAAGTCATCGACTTGCAAGCATCATAGGCCAGGTAATTTTTTTTAATTATTCAAATGTATAAGGTGACATAAAAAAACATGTCTAAGCCTTTTTTTTTTTTTTTTTTTTTTTTTTTTTTTCACGAACATTATATTCCAGCATTGGTACAATGACATGATTCGAGCTATGATGAGATATATGCCCAAAAGTGTATTCACACGAGCGCTCCATGTCATGTACGCCTATCGTCCTCAAGCAACATTCTTACCTCTTGTGCAAGACCGAGGGCAATGTAAGCCAGCACTACAACCAAGTTTAAAACGAGCGGAAGAGCGTAGAGCTGCAGAAATTAAAGCCAAGGGGGGTGCAGGTAGTCTTGGATCTGGACTTTATAAAGTTGATGCAGCTTCAACTATTTCTGTGAACCATTCAGCTTCTGCATCAGGCATATCAACTACAAGGACATATGAAAGCGCGAATACAAAATAAAGCAAACCATGTTTTTTTGGTATTTGAGGAGAGCCTTTATTAAATGTCAAATATTTCATAGTACGTGGCTTAAACTTCCATTCTCATTGTATCTTATGCTAAGCATTGGGGGTGATATGGTTGTGTGGGTTGATTATATGTATACAATGTTGGTGGGAGGTGTTTGAATTGCTGGGAATCAAAGAACAAATGCTTCCCACATCCTGAACATGGTGCTGTAAACAAGGTGCTGTATGTTGCTAGCCATTCCTAATGTATAAAAAATATTAGGATGAAATTGAAAACTAGACCTTTTGGGTCACATTACAAATAGACAGACGACACTTTAATTTTTTACCAGAACAATCCCAAGAAGTGATCGTGGTTCCTTCGTCATGAAGCAATCAACCGCACCGATTGCAATCTGGGTGATCTTCCTAAACACAAGATGGTTTGAGTCTTCCCAGATAGGATTCTATCCATAGAAAATAGTACAATAGATAGTTCTATGTTAGATCTTATTCTTTACCAAGCAGCCTAAATGAAAAATAAAAAAAGTCGTACCTCCTCTCCTGCACCAAACACTACGAGGCGAGATATAGATGTACAGCGTCCCTTCTTATTTGTTTCCATGACGATGAATGCATTCATAACCCCTGATACACTGACTTTTACTGTCGTGAATGGCATGGAATCCTGGGTATCCAGACGCGTAGCTCGAACTTTTTGACTAGACTTTCTCATTGTCCTGCTAAACCATCGAAGCGTATCGTCAACCGAAAGGCTAATTTTTCAAAATAGAAAGTAGAAGTTATCGTCAGCTTTTTTTTATATCTCGCCTTTTTTTCTGTTGATATGGTATTGCTGATAACATTATTTGTTATCAATACAACTTTGTACGTACTTTTGATATTCTTTGTTCTTCAATTCAATTATAGATCCGCCGGCCTCTCCAGATGTTTTGCGAATTGGTCTATAGAGATTTATTTTTTAAGGTCAAAAGAAAAATACATGAGATTAGAATGGTAACACACACTCAAAAGTAAGAAAATAGCCTGCCTTTATAGAATTTTTCCATTGTTACATTGCATTGTTTTTCTCTTCTTCCGATGCTTCTTTTCGTTTGACTTCTATTGATCTGATGAAGACAAAAAAAAAAAAAAAAAAAAAAAAAAAAGAAAAGAAAAGAAAAGAAAAGAAACAGTGGGTCGTATATTTCTTCGGTTAATTTTTTTTTCGTTTCACATCCAATGATGACACTCTGTGTAGGGGATATGTATTACATTGGAGATGGTCCTTGCAATACTGGAAGTTCCAAAGCCTGTGCGTCGTTTAGGACAGCTATACATATTGAATCGTATTTATCCAAGAACGAGGAAGCAAAAAAAAAAAAATTAAATAAATAAAATAAAATAAAATAAAAAGTTGAACCTATTTGGTCTAGATACCATAAAATAAAATAAAATAAAATAAATCTTATCATGACTAACCATCAGAACTGAGTGCCAGTTTGGCTAGACATTCTAAAGCGGTATATGTAAACCTTGCATGTTCCCGAAAGGCATTCCCTGACTCTGGCTCTTTATACATAGTATCAAAAAGCAGTGTCAGTAAATGTCTCTTTGATGGTTGATCTTCTATTAAAAAAGAGGAAAAGGTGTATGATATGTCAAAAGCCTCAAGAATAAATACCTGTACGTCCTTGTAGAATGTGAAAGATATGGTGAACAGAGGATCGAACATCGTTGAGCTAAAATAGTAATAACAAAAATAATAACGATTGGGTATCCCATAGCAAGTACGATTAGAAAGAGTGTTCAAAATCGCCTTTTTTTTTTAAGAAAAAAGACCCTTTAAGATATTGCCACAATGCTTTTCGCGTACAGAGTTAATCATGTGTTCAATGTCCTGCAATGAATTCTTATTCTTTTCAATGGCCGCCTCAATGTCTTCTGTTCCTGGCATGATGATATCTTTCTCCTCTTTCTTTTCTTTCCTTTATCTGTGTATGTGTGTTTTTTTCTGTTTGCACCAGATGAGTCGTGCTCGTTTGGCCATGTTTTTAGAGCGGGGGAAGATGGGGGAATTGCTTAAAAAAAAGCCACGTCTCAAGAAAATTCAAATTTGAGGGGCGATAGCGACCAAGAATTTGATTTTATTACACAGTGTGCTGTTATTGAGTGGATCCTTCTTTCCTCTATCTCTAATCCAAAAGGTAGAGACCTGCAGAGACAGTCACATTCACAGTGGGATTTAATATGAAGGCACTGGGGCATTCATGGATGGATATCGGCACTTCACGATCATGTAGCCATCCAATTCTCAATATTATCAAAGGACCCCCATCCATCCTGTTATCCAAACTACACTCAGAACGTTGAAACTGTTCAGTAATTATCTCCTTTTTTTTTGTCTTGATTGAGAAAGACAAATTGGGCAGGATACAGATGCAAAGTTTTTCAAGGGAATAAGAATAACATCCAAGGCAGGATTTAATTCCTTTTTGAACTTGAAGGAGCATGCATATAAATACATGGTCGACATAGACATCTACCCATGTCCCTCAATCTTCTTCATTCAGCAATTATACAAGGATACCACTTCAATGAAACATCCAACATTTCTAAAAAAGAGAAAGAGAAAAAGATAAAGAGGAACCTCTGCTTCAAATCTTTCCTGACCGGAAAAAAAAGCAATCTAAGAGGCTAGCAGAAGGATCAGAAAGACGTATATAACCATTGCAAGGAGATTTTTTGATTCTATGGAAGACGATGAGATTGCTATGAAATCTGATAAGGGACGCAGGACAAAGATTGACTGTATATATTGCATCAAAGATCTAACTAGAAATCTATTTTTTTCTTTCTTTTTTGCGCCCACCTCTCGTAGGACAAAATGGTGAGATACGCTGCCACCCCTGCCAACAGCTCAAAGAGTAAGTAATGCTTCTTGGACCCAGAGGCTAATGGAAAAGATGAATGGGTAAAAAAAAAAAGAAAGAGGAAAATCGGAAGTAATGAGTAAGACTATAATGCTAATGAGCAGTCTTTCTTTTACCTTTTATACGTTTTTTCAGCTGCCATGTCTCGCGGCTCCTACCTCCGTGTTCACTTCAAGAACACTCGTGAGGTCGCTGCTGCCATCTCTGGCATGAAGTTGAAGAAGGCCCTCACCTACCTCGAGGCCGTCAAGGATCACAAGCAGGTCATTCCTTTCCGCCGCTTCAACGGTGGTATCGGTCGCACTGCTCAAGCTAAGCATTTCGGCATGACCATGGGTCGCTGGCCCGTCAAGTCTGTTGAGTTTGTCACTGACTTGCTCAAGAACGCCGAGTCCAATGCCGAGGTGAGTACTCATTATTCATTATCAGGATAATTCAAATATATACTCTAATGACGGGCATTTTGATCTCGAGCGAAAGTCACGGCAGATTAGTAGCTAAATTGACAAATTCTGGACGCGTTAAAAGCGATTAACAGGACAAAGGCAACTGACAATGACGATATTGTGGTTTCATGGAGCCTGCATGATTTGTCAGGCCTCGTTGTTGGGAAAAAAAAAATCAAAGAAGAAATGAGTAGCTTTGAATATCATTTCGACAGAAAACGATCATGGCGCAACGAATTGAGGGAAGAGTGATTCAAGAACTCTTAACCAAGATCTGTGGTCATATTTTGGACATGAATGAGAAAAGGAAAAGAAATGATCGATACTTTTGTTTATTGATTGGAACAAATATCATTTTCAATAATCATCTTATCTAGGTTAAGGGTTTGGATCAGGATGCTCTTGTCGTCAAGCACATCCAGGTCAATCAGGCCCCTCGCCAGCGCCGCCGTACCTACCGTGCTCACGGTCGTATCAACCCCTACATGTCGTCTCCCTGCCACATCGAGATCATCCTCGCTGAGGAGAATGAGGCTGTCAAGCGTGAGGTTGAAGCCAAGAAGCCCAAGCTCAATTCTCGCCAGCTTGCTGCTCGTGCCCGTCGTGCTTAAAGAAAAAGATGATCCCAACCTTCTGAAAATATTTTAAAGCTGTTGAGGAATAAAGATGAAAAAGTAATATTTTTTCCTCTTTTTACTTTTTTGATCAGTGTAACTTTTGGCGATCTTCCAGCAATGAGGGGGGACCTTTTTTTTTTTACTCTTGAATATCCATGTAGTTTTGAATATGTACCATGCTCGCAAAAATTTAAAAACTCTTCCTTTGAACAATTGTTCGGTAGTATATATATATTTATTTTTATCCCTGTTAACTTGCACCATTTTCTTTGCCATGAACGCTGTTGAAAGAAAGTATAAGCCCATTTGGCCACTGTTCTACTATCCTTTTTTTTTTCTTTTTGGGGGTTTCATAAGATCTTCCGCTGCTGTTTGGAGTGGAAGTATCCTATTATTGGCGCTGGTCTGATATTTTATACAAATATTGAAAAGCCTCAGTCAGTATCAGTATTTTTCGACAGTGAATGAAGAAGCCAGAACAGGGAGTGATATGCAAACATGCTTGAATTGTGAATTAATTGATGGGTCACACCACACAAGCCACTACCTGTTTCTTCCATTACACTGGCTATAAGGGAACCTCAAGGCTGCAGATTAGAAATCTCCCTCTTTTGATCAAAAAATGGTATTACAGGTTTCGATAGAAATCACAGTCACACATATGGAAAAACTGAGGGGTTCAAGAGAGCATACTTGAGGAGTGATGTGTCAGGAAACATATTCATCCAACGATATCCATGCAATCATAACTATCCATCGGTTGAAATAACTTCATATCAGCGCTATCCAGAATTTACACTACCATTATAATCAGGGGATAATGTAGGATAAAGGGAGTGGTGCGGACACGATGTCGCCAGAGGTGTATTTTCATCATACGAATTCCTTTAGATCCAGCATTCTGAAACAGGATAGAAGAACGATAAAGAGTGAGAAGAGAGCAATTAAATCATAAATTCAATGACATTTCATCCAGAAGTGGACATTGGTGGATAATGAATCAACCAAAAAAAAGTGGCGATGATTGTCGGATTTCATGTGGTCAATGAGATGCATCAATAACTAGGACATTGATCTCATTAACCTAATTTGTTATTTTTTTGGGTGGTTCACGCTCTTAGGCCGATTCCACTGCTACCATCAGAACCCGCAAGTTCTTGACTAACCGCCTTTTGGCCAGAAAGCAAATGGTAAACGAGGCTAGACTTTTTATTTTTATTTTTTGGCCTTTGACAAGATCTGCAACAAAAAGGATAGGCATGGATAAAAGGGAGCCTTGACCATTAAACATAGGGAGCTTTTTTTTTTGTAAATTAGGTCGTGGATATTATCCACCCCACTCGCGCCAACCTCTCCAAGGATGAGGTCCGTGAGAAGCTCGCCAAAATGTACAAGGTTGATAAGGAGGTTATCTTCTGCTTCGGTTTCCGCACCCAATTCGGTGGTGGAAAGTCGACTGGCTTCGCCTTGATCTACGACAACATGGATGCTGCCAAGAAGTTCGAGCCCAAGTACCGCCTTGTTCGTGTATGTATCTCTCCCTTCAGTCTTATAGCAAAAAGGAGAAATGAAAGAACCAGTGGAGTGGCGCAAAATTTACGGAAGTGCAGGCATATAGAGGTATAGGAGTACAGGAGTGCAGGATTACTGGAGCTTGAAGGCTCGACTGAAAGAAAAAATGTTCATATGAAGAAATCTAAGCAGGAGCATCAGCAAAAGGGATATGAAGCCAAATTTCACTCAAAAAAAAAAAAAAAAAAAAAGACGAAACCCAGGGTCTGTCAAAACGAACACAGTATTTAACAGCAAGGAGGAAGTTTTTTTGAGATCTATACTGGGCACATGAGAATGCGCATGAACAAAGCAGATGAGGATCGATGACATTGACGATGCTTCTCAATCAACGAAATGGTGTAACGCTCGGGATTTCAACCCACCTCTGTCGCTGAAAGTTATCGTGTTTCATTATTGACACTATTATGAATACTTGCTCTTTTATATATATATAGCACGGCCTCTTGGAGATTAAGAAGCCATCTCGCAAGCAGCGCAAGGAGCGTAAGAACCGTAGCAAGAAGCTCCGTGGCACCAAGAAGGCTAAGGCCGCTGTTGCCAAGAAGTAAACGAAGGTAATCAAAATACTAAATAGCTTATTTTTCCCTTCAACAATACACCTGCACTGCGTTTGTATTACTTGATACTCCATTGGTATTAACGAGAACCTTAATATTAACTCGTTTTTGTTACCCATTCTTTTGAAATACCTCAAATTGCATTCAAATCCTGTACTTTTTAGTATTGTTAGATGGTCTATTTTACTCGTTAACCTTGACAAATACATTCATTTTCTGACCAGTGTAATCCAACTATGGGCCCCTCTTCTTCAAATTGACTGTTAATACTGTGATTGCATTTGATTCTCGGTTATCAAAGAACATAATACGTCCTAGTTTATTCTGTAGTTGTGACAGGATTGCACATACATTCCTTCTGATGCTCTATGTGGTACTTTTTAATTTCAAAAATGACCCAAAGCAGAATTGTTATGAAAAAGGTCGCTTACTTGTAGGAACTTTATTATCCTTCCTAACCTAATTGAATAGCATTAAACTTCATGGCGGCCACTTTGCTGCAACAACAAAGTGACAAGAAAAAAAAAAAAAAGCAATCGAAAAAAGAGACTCAAGTTTAAGTGTATCAGAAAGGTCACTTTCTTCATGTAAAAAGGTGTTTGAAATAGTTCCGAAGTGAATTCACCATCAGTGAGTGTCGGAAGGAGGTTCTTCAAAGTGTTGTTTTTAAATATTTGGAGTGATGTTGCTGTCAGGGGTGTCCCTCGCTCTCAGTATAAATCGTATTTGACATTTTCAAATAAGCTAATCCTGTTAAGATTATACCATGTCATTGAATGTCTGTGGATGCTGGATACCTTCTCTCAAACCTTTATCTTTCGGTAACTATGTTTTATTCATGCTTGGGTTGCAAAGGAAAGGGGTCAGAAAGAAGTAAAGCACGCCGCTGTGGCACTGACCCATTTCTTGGATGGTAGATCCCATTTCATGGCGTAGGCAGGACATAGTATGGCCTACGACAGGAGTTGCGTGTTCAGTTGAGCCAGAATTTTGTTACCAAGGTTTTTGTAAAACCTGGACAACTAACATTGGGTACAGACGACTAGATAGCCGAGGTTTTGCTGCTCAATCTCAACCTTCGAGGCTCAGAAAACAAGACGCATACGAACGACGCGCTCGAATAAAGAACGCGGTTAGGAGCAAAAGCCACTGGACAAAGGGACAAAAAAGATGTAAAAAAAGATGTGAGATGTACAAAAAAAGCAGCGGAGGTCATCACTCAAGTGCAACGTTCAAATCAAACAGGATTATAGATTCTCAAGGGAACTTGGCAATTGACTTGCCTTGACGCGGCGCTGGTAGAACGCGACGTTAACAAAACGCGACGCAGCATCAACCAAAGGATTGCTGTCTTTTTTTTTTTTTTTTTAGCATATTCTCGTTTGCTAGTGAGCGATCATCTTTGCCATTCACTAGACGACCAAGATGCAACAGCAACCGCCTCACCATTTCCCGCAGCTTACGCCTCTGCAACAACAGCAACAACAGCAGTTTTTGCAACAGCAGCAGCAGCAGCAACTTTTACAGCAGCAACAATACCAACAGCAGCAAATGGCGCTACAGCAACAAATGCGATATCAGCAGCAACAGTTGCAGCAGAGACAGATCCAACAGCACCAGCAAATGCTGCAACAGCAACAACGTGCGGCCATGAAGAACCCATCTCTAGAACAACATCAACAGTTCCAGCAGCAGCAATATCAACTTCAGCAAATGCAAATGCAGCAACAGCAGCAACTACTTCAACATCAACAGTTACAACAGCAACAGCTGCACCAGCAGATGATGGCACGTCCAATGGGTCTTTTGCAACAACAAGCACAGCAGATACCACAGCAGCCACAACAAGCACCGCAATCAATACCACTACAAATGCAGATGCAGATGCAACCAACCCCTATATCAGGTCCGCATCCAATGCAAAATAACTTAGTGCTCCAACAACAACATCAACAGCAACAACGAATGCTTGCACAGATGCAACAGCAACAACAACAGCACTTGCATCCCAGCCATGCTAGTAAGCAGAGGCCAAACGGACTTTCAGGAGTACCAGGGATGGCAGGTACTTCAGGAATACAAAATATACCAGGGATGACAGGCACTACAGGGATACAAAGTATTCCAGGAATGCCAAGTGGTTCTGCGATGCCAACCATGCCAGCCATGCCAACCATGCCTGGAGTATCAGGAGTGACGCCTGGAGTCGGGAAGGTCCCTGGTACAACAAGCATGCCAGGTGTTCCAGGAATGCAGACAATGCCAGGACTTCCTGTTCGTCCATCAATAACGCCTCATGGCACTCCTACGCCTATGCCGCCTGCAAAGGAGTACGACATAGATATCAACATGGAGGTCGTTCATGCAGTGAGTGAGCAGTATAGGCGAATGCGGATAATTGATTTTAAAATACCAAAGCATTAGTGGTGATAGCTGACCATCAGCATGTCCATGACTCACGACGTATATGTCAACCCTAGCTTCTGGATTTGAACAAAGAGTTAATTTGCGTCTGTCTGGATTATCAAAATAGTAATCTGATCAGTGATCCTGATTTCGCAAGGTAGGTTAAGATACATATTTGCCGATCCGTACGACATACAAACTGAATGTTCGAGCTAAAGGACTTATTCTGTACTTTTTTTTTCATTTTTCTTTTGGCATGTTACAACGCGAAAGGTATCAAGCTCGCCTTCAGGCTATGTTATCGTACTTAGCCACATGGACAGAGATCATCAAGGTGCTACCAGTGAGTGACTTTGAGAAATATACTCTTGCGCCTTATTGAAAGCTGTGACGAGGAGGTCGATAGTCATCTGATCAGAGTCTGTTATGCTCTTATTCTATTACTAATATCAATTATATATCTTTTTGTTTTTTTTATGGATTGTGCGTTTTCAGCTAACAAAAGAACCTCCATCAAAGCCGGATCTATCACCACTTCCTCCAGCACGATTTCCTTCTGCAGTACGTGCGATGACAGCACTTCCGAAGGTGGCTATCGCCTTTGCGGCAGCACAAAAGGCCTTGTTACAAAAGCAGGGGGAATTGAAAAAAGAGGCTACAGATACAGCGGTGAAATCTGAAACAGAAACATCACCAGCATCTAGTAGCACAGGAGTAGTACCAATCTCCGCTTCCGTATCGTCTGTAACAAACGGAGTCGCAGTGAGCCCTGTGGTATCAACCGCACCTATTGTAGCTACATCTGTTCCACAAAAGACAGCAAGTAATGCAGGATCACCCGCGTCGCCTGCTCCTTATTGTGTATCCATAATAGGGGATCAATCAGTTGCAACACCATCACAACGACCACTACCTAATATGACCCCCCAACAGCAAGTGCAACAGACACAGTCGACACTAGATATGCCTACAAGTGTCAACTCTTCGACAGCCTCCTCGTCTACGCCGCAGCCCAGCATAGTTACCCAACCTCCCTCTTCATCAATGCCTCCAGCGATACCACAAAGCCCGACCATTACCGATACATCCACAACCCCACAAACATCATCGACGGCAAATATGCAGTCCAGTGGAATTCCATCGTCCCCTGCATCAACTTCAGCTGCTCCCATGCCACCTACAGCTCTGGTAATTAATGCGGTTAAGGCTCAGACAGGCCCCAACTCTGTACAGTCATCACCATCTTTAGGTGGACTTGCGCACTTGAAGCAAGGAAGCAGCACAACCGGCAGTCCTGCATTGGCTCAAGCGCAAATCCAATCACAGCCCCAGACACCACACTCGCCTTTAGGCATTCACAATCCCAAATCACCGGCACCACAACCTCTTCTTCCACAACAAGTACAGTCTCTTCAACAAAACACTGCCGGAAGTAGGAACAGCTCCCCTATTGTTTCAAACCAAACTCTCCCTCCTCAACGCGCTGGTGCAGGATCAGCAACACCATCACCAAATGTGTCACATGCAGCGATTCAACAAGATGCAGCCGGTCAACGAGTTGCATCACCCACTACAACATCTATGGCGAGTCAAATCGGATCATTAACCGCCCCGATGTCATTTACAGTACCATTTCAATCTCACACCCCAAGTCCTACGACAGTTCACGCACGACCTGCCATGGCTCCCGGACAACATGTAGCACAAGCCGCTCAGCACCAGCAACACCTAATGGGCATGGGCATAGGCATGGGCATGAATATGAACATGGGCATGGGTATGGGTATGGGTATGGGTGTTGGTGTACCCATGGGTATGCCTTTGAACGCCATTGGCGCTACTTCTATGAGCCAAAGCATGCCGATGTCAATACCTATGCAGGCACAGATGCAGTTGCCCATGTCCGGACCTATGCAGGCACAGATGCAGTTGCCCATGTCCGGACCTATGCAGCTCCCATTGACTGGCAGACATATGCTGGGAGGCCAAGGAAGCGGTATTCAGATGCAACTAGGACCTCATCAGCAGCATCAATTGAACAACATACATATGCATATAATGCAACCACAACACCACCAACAGCAACAGCAGCAGCAACAACATCTTCAACATCAACAAGGACTGCAGCAACAACAGCAGTTGCAATTACAACAGCAGCATTCTCGGAGCCGACAAAATAGTCCCATGATGAGCCCTGGCGTAAACAGTCCCGCGGTCTTTAGTCCCACACCTGGGATCAGTCAAAGTCATAGCCCTAGTCACTCAGGATCCATTGATCTAAATCCTCGCAGTAATCTGATGTCAAGCAGTAGCCAACAAGGATCACCGGCGCCCACGGCTTCCAGAGTGGCTGGAATACAGTCACTTCCAGGATCACGGTCAGGATCTGTTGATTTATCACAACAACAACAACAACAGCTCCAGTCGCCTCAGCAGATCCCAGGTTCATTGACACCTGGGGGAACCTCGTTCAATAGCGGCACTAGCAGCCATCAGGCCAGTTTGCAAGGCATGTCTACTGTTGGTCATATTAACAGTAGTGGTGGCGGCAATAATAACAATAGCGATAACCACATTAACAACGACTCCAGTAGTAACATCAACGGCAATAATAATAGTAGCAATAACAGCAACCGCAATATAAATACAAATTCCTCAGGATTAGTGACTTCTTCAACTTCTATGGGTGAGGAAGGCGAAGACCTGTTGAATTTGGATATGGGGATTGAGATGGAGGTGATGGATATGTCCATGTACACTAATGAGGACCCTAGTACCAGTGATTCAGCCAACAATGACGACGAATCTAGCAGACTTGGAACGGATATGTCAGGATCATCTGTGGGATATGGAAATATTCAGGGCCAGGATCAACAGAATCAGCAGCACCAGCAGCATCAGCAAGGTGGTCTCGAAAATCTGGAAATGGAAAGCATGGTTAACGACGATGAGGACGATGTAATGAGTGGATTTTTAAACTTGTAGAACTCTACTGTTCTTCTAGCCTCATGCGCATACACCTGCTTTTTTTTTTTTTTTCTTTTCCTAATAACTTTATTGTCTTTTTTTTTTGATGATTTGTATAATATGTTATTTTTTTCTATTATTACACAGTAAATTTGAAAAGAGAGTATTTTTTTGTAAACCGTTGTATTTGAAGCGATGTTAACACTCCTTCGAGCTGGATCTGGTTTGAGAATTCAAACAAGAATTAATTCTCAGCTGGATTTGGAGTCAGGGGGATTATATTCTCCACTGATATCTTTGTCACATTGTTTCTCTCGTGGAGCGGCTAGTGAAAAAGATCCAATCGGATACACTAGAGATTCTCATGGTCACTTTGTGCAGGTGCCAACTTACTTTTCTCCCGATGACAAAGCAAAGATCCCATTATGCAATCTCTGGATCACGCTCAAATGTTTTAAAAGTGAGTGCCAATAAAATGTAGAATGGGAAAAGAATTACTGTATACATGTACAACGGTGCGGATCAGCTTGTTTATTGTAGTTGTATATTATATATATATATATATTTATGCAATTTCTGTAGATAAATATCAACATTATTCGTAGAATGGCGCCATCGGATGTTTCCTTTTCTCTCTGTCATTATATAGTGTTATATAAATATAATAAAGTATTTCAAAGAAAAGATTTTTAATTTACCCATGAATCTTTCAATTGAAAATCGAATTAAACGAATAAGGATTAATGGTTACGGTTTTAGTTTTAGTTTTAAGTAAAGAAAGATAATGGATAAGAGAAAAGAAAAGGCCTTCTTGAGTGAATATGATAGATGTTCAGTTCAATATTGTTTGTTTTTTTGACTTGTTATCCCCCCCTTATCGAAATCCAATGCGATGAGCCAAGGATTTGGAAGGATGGCACCATCGGTCACAAACCGAAATCGTGAACGCTCGTTGGCTGAATTTATTTAGGATTGGAAGGGCAAAGCATAAAAAAAGATTTCAATTAATATCCTTTCCTTTGTATGTCATTGTCATTAAATGTCATTATCTTTTTTTTTTTTTTTTTTTTTTTTTGACTTCAAGAGTGTCTCCACTCGGGCAGTCTTTGCTTTCACACGCACATGCCGATCGTGTGAGCCCTTATTTAGTATAGGAGAAAAAAAAAAAAAAAAAAAGAATAAAGAATAAAAAATAAAAAAAATGACACCATCGTTCTCTCAAACGAGCTCCAAGAAAACAGTGCGACCATCAACAAAAAGAAAATGTTCATTTAGAATGAAGAGTATGTTTATTATAGAATAAGAATGTACAGGTGGTGTTACAAGTGTTCAAGGAAGAGAAATAGCTTCTGGCAATTAACGATCATTGCCATCTGGCTGTGTTGTTCTACGTCTACCACTGGGCCTCCTCTCATATCGTCGTCTTTCACCACTAAAAACATCAGTGGCCTTCTTTCTATCTACCTCTTGATGCTCACTATGGTTGTCATGATCGCTATTGTTATAGCTATTGAATTCTTCATCTTCATCATCGTTGTCTGGAAGAATCATATCGACCACATCTTCTGCATCACTATCGGTCATGGATAAATCTTGAGCTGAGAGCTTGTCAACAGCAGCAGCAGATGAGTGTCCAGCACCACTGCCAATGCCGTTACCTCGATGCTTCTTCTCACGACCAGCTTCACGTAAACGTTTCAGGACCTTCTCAGCTACAAGTCGACTCTTGAGCTTTTCGACCAGGTTCTTGAGCGACGTATTCTCAGTCCGACACTCTTCGAGCTGACGAGTGATGATGCTGTTCTGTTCCTGCAGAGTGGCGATCTGTGCACGCATCTCTCCAGATTGGTAATGCTTCTTGGCTCGATATTTGGCAGAGGCGGCCTTGTTACGCTCTCGCCTGTCGTTGACAGAAAGTGGGATTGAGCCTGCTGCTGCTGCTGTTGGAGGCGGAGACATTGAAGCTGATCCTGTACGATAATGATGGTGATCGTCATGACTGTTGGTCGAAAGTGAAGGATAATGAGGTGCAGAGTCCACAGGGCTTTGAGGTGATGGTGGAGGACGCCCCGTCAGTGGAGGGAGTGTGGGTGGAGAATAAGGATGGGTACGATGTGAAGGTGACGAATAAGTATGTTGTGGGTGTCGAGAAGGATAAGGGAGAATTGGTTTCTGTGAGGACTCGATCGAATTGCGATGAGGGTGTGAGTAAGGCGGCGAAGGAACCTGGTATGCTTCATGGTGATGGTAGTGCTGGTGTTGTTGCTGAGACGATGAATGGTGATGGTGGTGGTGAGGGCTTGTAGAGACGTAGAGAGAGAGTGAGGGTTCGATTGAAGGTGAAACAGGTGCCGGTAGAGACTCATGGTGCATGGTGGGTGAGATATCAGAATGATGAGGGTAAGGTTGAGGGTAGGAAGGTGGTTGTTGATGTTGGTGTGAGTGCATTCGCACATGAGAAGGTGGAGGAGGAGGATAGGTTACGTTGGCCGAAGTCAAGGACATGGCTGGAATGACAAAGGATGGTAAAGAGGCAGGTATGTGGTTGGAAGTTAAAGTGAGCAAGTATGGTGTTAAGGAAGAGAAGGAGAGAAAGAAGAAAAAGAAAAAGAAAAAGGAAGCAAATAAATATTTTCTAAAATAGTCGGTGCGTTGGAGGAGTTGTTCTAATAGTATTTATAGTGTCTCAATTTTATGTATCCAAATGCTCTTGAGTCGTCCTCTTCGCGTTCTCGCGTCATTGTGGGACATCTGTATTCACACAAAATATATATACACATTCATAGCACAGACTACAACAAATGTTTTTTTTTTATATACTGCCTTTTCACATCTCTTTCACGCCCCAATTATAGCGCATAATGTACATATAGATTTCCTATACAAATAATAAAATAAACAACTTTAACACAAATCAAAATCGATTGATTGAACTATGAAGGTAGGAAGCATAAAGGGCACTGCGATCTCTCAATCCACAGATGAAAAGGAAAAAAAAAAAAAAAAAAAAAAAAAAAAAACAATCAAATTTAATTTATTGACGTCTAACAATCGTGCTGTCAACAGGGTAATGGCATCATCAATCGGTGTTGAGCTATTGGTTAGGGGGCACGCCAGGTGCGGGAACAGATACCTGTGCTCTTTGCCTCGCGTCTCTCCTGCTAGGCAAGGACCCGCAACTCAACTAGCATGTGTTTATGTGCTCATCTTGCACACAGGTTGTAGCAATGCGTCTTAACAAATGACGCGAGAATGGACAAGAATAAGAACATTTTTTTTTTTTTTTTTTTTTTTTTTTTTCCTGCAGGAGAAATTCACGGTTAGACTAAACCCATTTAATGTAGGATCAGTTAAGCTGAGCATAAAAAGAATAATATTATATATTATATAAATATATATATACATGTAACCATTTCAATAGAATGGTGAAAGCAAAGGAAGAAGGCAGACATGGCCGTAGCGCTATAGAATCCAATTCAATTGGCAATGAGCACAACTGAACAGCTTTAGTATTTTTGTTTTGTGTGTATCTGTGTATATGTCTTCTAAACCTCTTTTCTTTGTTACCTTATTGCGTGCGATGGCAACATCGTTGGTATCAAATTGACAATCCTCATGCCGCTTTGTTGCTTGCGCCCTTTCATACCCTTGTGGTTTGAACATGATTTCTAATCTCCTAAAAAAAAAAAACTTGGGCTTGCTGACAAACGTAGTTAAACTAAGAACCATATAGTATCCTTTTTTTTTTTTTTTTTTTTTTTTGCTTTCCCTGTAGGACGCAAAATATATAGCTGTATATATCAATCTTCACTTCCTGTCAAGGCTCACTACACCATTTGTAGCCATACATCACGAAGCTTGAAAACGATGCTCTTCATAGACATAACAAATAATGTTAACCACAAGAGCCGATTGCATGATTCAGGGCAATCAGTGGATGAGAAGCAATTTCCATATTTATTAGTAAGTTGAAAACATATTTTTCACAAAATTCAGCAGGCTATGTCTCCAAGTAATCCTCGAGTTGAAGACGACATCAGAGGAAAAGAGGTATCATTAACTATTGAAGAAGAAGAAAAAGCGCTTATATGTTCAGCCGGTTGTGGAAGATCATGGCGTCCCACCAGTCCAAGTTGAGTCTTTCCTTTATTACACGTAATTGTTCTCTCGTATCCTTTTGTACATCAAAAATTAGGTGGCAAGAACCAGTAGATTGCAGACTTTATACATTTAAAAGTGTTTCCTTGTTTATATTTGACCTGCCCTCTCATGCGTCTACAGGCCTGTATTTCTAGTTTACTGCGCTGTATTGGTTTGATTAGTGCAGGGCTATAGGTGTTATCTCTATAGAGATGATAAACTGGTGAATTTTTACAACATTCGTAAGCCCAGCATCACCAGAATATCCTAACTTACAGCCCTCGACTCGTAGTCATATCCATAATTCTATGCTAGTTTCCCCTTTCACTACCGGTGGTATATAGCCTCCACACTGATGAGGTTTTTCTCGAGCCGCTTATGAAGCCCCTTGAACTCTTCACTCTTTCAGTTTGTCGAAATACATTAATCAATGCACAGGTGATGTTAGCATTCCGCCAGTAAATATGGTAATAATCATTGTAAATGGAAAGATAAAAAGTGAAAAAAGATAGGGAGAATAATCACATTCTAGGATATGAATGGTTATTGTTCCTTTTTATCTTTCACGCGAAAGTTGTCGGCACGTGGTATTGCGCCACAGAGATACGTACGCTCGGAATGTCTGTACGTAGGCTGCTTAGTTCATCTAATTTTTATGAAACGAGCCAAAAAACTCTTTCACTTTACTCCATCACTTTCTCCCGCTCTCATTCACACATTACACCGCATTAAACACAAACAATATATACTCGCTAGTCATATACCGAGTTCCATTTCATTCCTCGCGTGCTCTTACACCCTCAAGCTGGCTGAATCACTATTGACGATAACACTACCCTTTTCACTCTCCAAACTGACTGATAACTATTACATAAATAAACCAAAACCATGTTGCTTGAAATCTCTTGTGCCTCCGACTTCCTGGGCCGTTTCTTGACTGCGTCGACAGTATGCACCCCGCAGATCATCGACAGCTTCAAGAAAGAGATTGCAACATTAATGCAAGAGAAATATACCAACCATTGGGATCCACAGAGACCCCATTATGGCAACGGGTATAGAGCCATTACCTCCTTTAGTGGCAAAGTGGATCCTCTTTTGTGCCAGGTAACAAATTAACAGAAGCGCAGTTCAAGAGTGAGAGGGAAATACATGAAACCAAAAATGGTTATGTTAAATCACGCGTTTCCTTTCCACATGAGGTTTTAAACACTCGTTCAATCTGTTGTTCATTTTTTTTTTTTTTTTTTTTTTTTTTTTTTTTTTGCTTTGACGCTGGGGTTGTGGGATGTGTAAGATCAATTAATGGTCCAAACTCCGTTTTTATGACAAGATGTCACAATGGCACTAAACAATAAAACCTATAAACCTTTTTTTATTTTTATTTTTATTTTAGGCTGCTCAGAAGAGCTCGCTGCCCATGGAGACGCTGCAGGGTCTGATCCCTAGGGATTTGGTGCTCTGGGTCGAACCTTATACGGTTTCTTTTCGCATTGGCGATCATGGTTCCATCAATACCATCTACGACGGAACGCGTGGCAAGGTCTCTATGAAGGCTGACAACTCTTCTTTCCCATCAAAGATCATGGGTCGCCCTTCGTCTGCTGTTCGTATTTCTCCTCCGCCTTCTCCACCTAATGTTCCTGCTCGAGTCTCACACGCCATCCCAATCACCAGTCCATTGACTAAGAGCCAGATCATCACCCCCAGTGCTACTCCTTCGCCTCCTTCCAGCAAACTATCGATCATGTCGTCGGTCTAACGTCCAAATAATCAACCATTTTACAAAAAAAAAAAAAAAAAAAAAGAGCTCCACACAAAAAGTCAGAAAAAAAAAAAAAAAAAAAAAAAAAAAAAACAGTATTATACTTAGATACTTGTAACAATGGGACGAGAAGTGGCTCTATCAGGAACTCAGTTTTTCTTACTGCGAAATGAGGCGCTTAGGTTGTTTGATGATGGACCAATATTCCCGGCAAAGGCTCTTTGGTGTTCATTTCTAAAGTAGTCTTTTCCACCCTTGCCACTGTATCAATTCTTTCCTTTTTTTTTTTTTTTTTTTTTTTACTCCAGACTTTGTTGTTGCTGTTCTTTTCCCTTTCGGTTGTTGTGTGTACTAGCTTTTGTATTGTTCCTTTGTTTCATTAGAACGGTCGTTATTTTTTTTTACATTGTATTTTTTTTGTATTATGGTTTTTTTGCCCTGTACTTTGCTGTATCAGTTTTCCTCTAATTCAATAAAGAAGTATATACAAGGCAGCCTTTTTTTAGGTTGGTCTTGCCATATTTTGTGTAAATTGCATTTAAATAATATTAATCCTGTCAATTGTATCAGGACTTGTTCATCTGAATGACAGAGAGACAGCTTTTTTATTTTATTTTTTCCTTCCGATCTTCTCTTGAATCCAAAGGACTGTAGAGACTATTTTTAATTTTTTTATGGCTGTAGCGACCAAAGGACAGCATGTCAATGCATTTGGTAGGACAATAGGACAATAGGAAAATAGGACATTTGGTGTGACAAAGATGGAACACCGCCACGCCAAGGAAAAACAACCGCCCATTTGTCCCTTATGAATAAATACAAATGTATATATATATTTGTATGTAGACAATAATGTTTTCTTGTTGATGTTGTTGATGCATGTAGTACATTGTATCCTCTCCCTCAAGTGGTATTGTACATGCAAAGTTTGCTACTAACTTCAGCTTGACCTGCTTGGCTTTTCCTTTTTTTTTTTTTTTTTTTTTTTTTTTCACTCTTCCTCTTTTTCTTCTGCTTCTTCCTTTTTCACTTCTAGCCCCTTTGCACAATTAAACAAACGACATAACAACACATACGACACATACAAACAACTTTTACACACTTTTACACACTTTTACACAAGAAAATTTCCTCCTAGTTATTTTCTTATTCTTATCAAGTTCAACGCAGAGAGTTAAAAAATGTCTTATCATCACTCAAAACAGGAATGGCAAGACGATGACGATGGCACACACCAAACCTCTTCAGGAGGGGGTGGAACATCTACTGCGTCACCATTCGGTGATGGCCAACAAGAGACACATCAGAATGCTTATAGTTATACAAATCATTCACCTCATCATTACCAACAACAGCAACAACAATCGCAACAGGACGACGACGAGGATCAGTATCCAGTAGGTCGACCTTTGAGTTACTTCCCGACACACCATCAGCCCCTGAGCCAACAGGAATACGACGAAGAGCAGCACCGAATCAGCCAATACCATCAAATGTCTCCTCTAGAACATGCTCAATCAGCTTTAAGCAGCCGCACACCAGAATGGGGTGGCGGAGGTTACTCAGGATATCAACCCCAGACATCCTCCGGTGGACCGACCACCGATATCCCACTCGTGGGAATTGACATCATCTCGTCCAATCTTGAAGCTGCTCGCAACGGAAACAAGTTTTCAGATACCAGAACCGCAGAGAATATGGCGGGACCTGCACAACCATTCGGAACAATGGATCATCAGTCTATATACAGTACTGGAGCAGGAGTTGGAGGAAGTAATGAAGGGCATAGCAATCAATACGGCAATAGGGCATTGGACAGCAGTGATAACAGCTATAACAACAACAACAATGCTAATAACCAGTATGGTCAAGCACAACCACCAACATCACCACCTTTAGCACCACAGCCTCATCCTGTGGATAGCGAGGGTAAACCGATTGCGAAAGTGTTGCTAGATCCCAAAGTTCAGCGACAGCTCAATAAGCGTAAGCGATGGAGACCTTGGTTTGTCTGGGTGGTATCAGCTGTCCAGATCGCAGTGCTGGTCTTTGAGATTTTTAAGGGATATCAGAGGACTGGACAGTTCGTTCAGACACAGCCTTTCAATCCCATGATTGGACCTGGTGCCGGAGTAAGTTTTTTTTTTTTTTTTTTTTTTTTTTTTTTTTAAGGGATGTCGAACGACCAGGCTTAGCTTACTAACTCCTCCCTCTCTCTAGACTATCATTGCTGTAGGCGCGCGCTTTGTGCCTTGTATGCGTAGTACATATCTGGACAATGCACAAATAGAATGTCCTGACGATCCCAAAACTGTCTGCACTATTTCGGATATTTGTGGGTTTACGCCTATTGCATCGACTGGCAAGCCTCCGAATCAGTGGTTCAGGTTTATCACACCTATCTTCTTACACGGAGGCATTGTTCATTTGCTCTTCAACTTGATGTTCCAAATGCGAACAGGTGCAGATTTGGAGCGCGATATGGGTTGGTGGCGATTCGGTATCATTTACATGTGCTCCGGTATCGTAGGATTTATCTTTGGAGGAAACTTTGCGCCTTTGTTAGCACGTAAGTGTATTTTTTTTTTCCCCCATTTTTGGATGAATAACTTCTTTGATATCACCGCATCTGTAGGATGGCGTGTTCCTCATGTTTTTATTTTACTTTATTTTATTTTTTAATATCTTCTAGCATCTATGGGTGCATCAGGAGCAATCTTTGGGTTGATTGGATGTCTTGTCCTGGATCTAGTTCAGAATTGGAAGTTGGTCGTACGGCCCTGTTGGGAGCTGAGCAAGGTAAAAAAATATCTGCCGTTCTTCGCTTCGTATTTTTTTTTTTTTTTATTTTTTTTAACCATTTAACCATTCCGTTTTTTTATTTTTTTTTTTGTGGAATACAGCTCTCCTTCATGATCCTATTTTCGTTTGCATTTGGTTTGCTCCCATTCTTGGACAACTTTGCTCACATTGGAGGCTTTTTCGCAGGAATTTTGACGGGTCTAGTCTTCATGCCTGTGGTCTACTTTTCAAAGCGGGATAAGTTTATCAAGCTTGGACTTCGCTTCATTGCATTACCTTTGATTATTCTGATCATTGTCCTTGGTTTGACCAATTTCTACAAGGGCGCTAATAATTGCAGCTGGTGCAAGTACCTGAACTGTGTGGATATCAATGGCTGGTGTGACGCATTCAACACACCCACTCCGACTGGAGGGAACAACTAGAAAAAAAGAAAAAAAAAAATTGTTAAAGCCTAGGTCATACTAGGTCAAGGCCAATCCTAGGCTATTATTTTACTGCATTTTCTATCAATTATCAGCCATCATTATTCTTTTCATCAATGACAAATTTGTAAAATAAAAAAAAAGTCAAAACGGCACGTCCCTTCCAGAGGCGATGTCCCCTTTATTTTTTAATCTATTACAAGGAGTTCTTGACGGCGCTAGCGCGCTTTGCCATCTTAATATTGGACTTGAAGCCCATGATTCCACCGCCCCAAAGCTTGCGAGCAGACTCGTTCTTCTCGGTGTAGTTGGACTTGATGGCCGAGATCAAAGAAGAAAGCTCGGACTTGTCCTCAGCACGGACCTCAGTGAAGGCAAGAGCAGTGGCAGTCTTCTTGTGGACAACAGTTCCGAGACGAGCCTTGCCCTTGACAATGACGTAAGGGATACCCATCTTGCGGCAGAGAGCGGGCAACCAGAGGACAAGTTCGATGGGTCAACATCATCAGCAATGACGACGAGCGAAGCCTTTTTAGCCTCAACCAAGGCAGTAATGTGGTTGATACCATACTTGATGACATAGGGCTTCTTGGTCTCGGCCTTCTCGCCCTTCTTCTCAACTTGAGCAGCAGCAGCGGCGGTCAAACGCTCCTTCTTTTCGATGCGAGTCTCGGGACGGTACTTGTTGGCGAGCTTGAACAACTGGGTGGCAGTGTTCTTGTCCAAGACCTGGGTGAACTGATTAAAAGTTGGGGGGACCTTAAGACGTTGGTTCAAGATCTTGCGCTGGCGCTGAAGACGAACATATTCGGGTCACTTAACATAGCGGGAAAGATCCTTAACAGGTTGAATGTCCTGACCGATACCGAAGTTCTTGGGAGTCTTCTCGATCAAGGGGTTAGCAGGGGCCTTGGAAGTGGACTTCTTGGCGTAAGGAGCGGGAGCGACCTTGGACTTCTTAATGGGTGCCTATTTTTTTTTTAAAATCCAATGATTCCAATGTTATAAAATACAATATTAGGCGACCTATTTTTTTTTAATGCTTTTCTGGAATAGTTCAGTTGTAGAATCAAGGGTGATAATTTATGCGTTTGTTTCATGAAATAAAGAAAAAAAAGCCAAAGATTGAGCCAATGTGGAGTCCCCTTAGATACTCAAGTTAGCCAAATATGCGACACCCTTAAACAAAAAATAAAAGTTATTTCCATACAAGTCATGTGGGTCATGTGAGGCAAAATATATATGGAAGTTCACTCTAACCTGTCTCCAAGTCCATAATCGTATGGGAAAACCAGTTCTCATATATAAAAATCATTCAAATGAACCTCAACCCAAACTGAACTTTGGATAATGTCAAAAGACACTAATATAAAGCGATCTAGGGTAGTAATTGAAGTTTCTGAAGAAATTGAGTATCCGTAGTGACATAAAAACCGACTTTGGAAACCAAGTGTAGCTTGGTAGATACTTGCTTAAAAAAATGTTTCGTTGAAATTAGTAAAAAAAGCAGAGCTCTATGATAAAACCTTCAAACTTCACCATATTCAATGCTGAATCCAACTGTGGTATTTTTACAGCGACTTAGTTTACAAAAATAACCATCCTAACTGTTTAAAGATGGATGAGAGACTATAAATTCCAGAAATTACTCTATTTAGAATCATAGCATGTCTATCAGGGGCCCTCTCAAGGACATCATGTATGATGTGGAGTGGTGGGTCTGGGTTATCCTTATGAACTTGATCAAAAGATACATATGTCTGCAGGGGCGCTGAGAATACATAAAGTACTGACAGTTACATCTTGAGATAGTTTCATTCGTGCCAACCACGAAATAATATCCGCCAGATACGGAGAACGAGCGCACACAGTAAACGATTCGGTCTCCCACTTGCTGCTCGTGAACAATGCGCTGTGGAAGGTCTTCTAGACCATCTAGAAATTTTCTTTGGTGAAAGTCATCTCTCTCGCCTTTTAAATGTCGCCCATAGGGTCGCATAGTCTGCATTGGCATCATTTGGTAAAACTCATCTACATCATGAGTTAAGATATAAACCAATCTATCTCCCCTGCAGTTTGTATAACCTCGTAAGAAGTGCGACTTAAGGTGGTTATGCCAGGACTCGACGTAATTGTTAGTATCCATCCCGGCATAAAACTTTCCCATACGATAACATTTCATCCACCTTCTCCTTCGGTCTTTACTGAGGTAGCGTTCTCTAAAATAATTCCAGACTTTGCCCTCATTATGATCCTGCCATTTCAACTCGAATTCTGAAATAAGAGTCTCAGCTTGCGTATGGTTTGGATTAAACAAAATTCTACGGAGCTCTCCCATCGCTTCCTCCCTCAACTCCTTAGCAGCCTTGTCTTGCGTTGCACGGATATCATTTCGAAGCTTGGTGCTCCAAGCTTTCATAACATGCCATAGACATAAATGAACTGTGACTGAGTCTCCAAACGCCAATCGGATTGCTTTGTATTCTGCTCGAGCATCATCAGTGGTGATGTATTCAGGAGAGCCAATGGTTTCTCTGATATGTTTCAAGCATTTTGCCAACGGTACATGGCTATGATCGTTCGTAAGCAAGAAGGCAACTGGGATAGCACTCAGACTTTGTGGGTTCCGCACAATTATGGTGTAAAGCTCGTGTTTAGAGCGATTTGTTCCATGCGTTGAATATAGCCCAATGTGTTTAAAATTGGATCCATAAACTGATTTCTGGAACGGCGACATAAACCCATATGCAAACCTTGCATGATTCACCCCGTCTATTACGATGTGGTAGTCGAGCATGAATACAGTGAAGCCCTTGTCCTTTAGTTTGCCCATCCAGAGCCTCTTCGAGACTAAGTCATTCTTTTCAAGCTGACTCTGTCCACTTGAATATTTATAATAAATATTGTACACATCTTCATACTTCAGGACATGGTCACGCTGCAAAGACCCTCTCTGGTGTCGCGAGAATGCCTGGCTGCCAGACAGGTTTATCCTTGTCAGAATCTTTCTTGTACAGAGACCTAAACGGACAAGGTTTCGAATTCGCGATTTTGTTTCTTCTGTCACTCTGAGATGTTGAAAGTTCTCGAGACTAGCAAGAGTATGCCCAGTGTGCTTGTAGTAATATATCACACGCAGCTGGTTCCTTTCACCTCTACTTGCGAACTCTTCTATATTGGGTTTTACGTCATGAACAATTAGTCTGGCTTTACAGCCTACTTTCTTGGTCGGTTTATAAACATTGCGAGTTTTCTTGGCTGGCCTCTCAAGTAGTTGATCTTGGTCAGTAATCTTTTTTTTGCGTGGGGCGCCTGCACAGTGGCAGAAATAAAGTTGAAATGAACGCAGTTTGCCTTTGCTATCATTGTCGTTGGTGATTTCAGAGTCTTCATTGTCTTCATTTCTACCATTTATCTCAGAGTTGCCTTTATTCCAAATAAAAAAGTAATCGCTGCCATCTCGGTCCTTCCACAGTTCAAAGTCTCTTTTGTCCACATAGAATACGTGCGGCAAATAATCGTAATCCTGTTTCTTAATCCCGAGGCCATCAACAATATCCCTAATCTTAGTCTCTGGGACCATCAACTCAATCCAAGAGTATTCTTGTAGCTGCGTAGACACAATTGTGGAAGCCAGACTGATTGCACGAGCCTCCTTATCTTGACTCAACCTCGATATATCCTCTACTTCTTCTACGTTATTTTCAGATGGCGCCTCAACGAAAGTTTTCTTAAGAGATTCTGTTGCGAGATCATTCCCAGAGGTGTTGTCTTCACCGGATGGTTCAACTGGCCCCCACACTATTTCTGGCTCGGAATCTGACACATCTGAAGAATAGTCTTCACCATCATCACAGTCGTGCTCTTCAGGATCCGTATCAACATCGGTAGCTTCATCGTGATCGTAGAATTCGAAGCCTGGCTCAAGGACCTCTTCAGTTGCATCCTCACCGTTACTCGAGGCAACTAAGGTATCAGTAGTGAGGACCTATAGCTTGCATTAAGAAAAATAAATAATTATAAGCTAATGAACTAATCAAAATAGCTAGCATGTCCGTGATATTTATAAATACCATTATGGAAAGGACGGCTAATTTTATCTATCTCAGAGAGAAGGAAGACAAAGAGTTAGAAATGAAGCAGGCTAATTTGAATTTACGCGTTTTTTTTTTTTTTTTTTCAAAATATACAACTAGCACAGAACTCTATTTAAATTTCTTCATATTCTCATCGATGGCCTGATAGAGTTCCGAAGGAGGAAGAATGACTTAGAATAGAACCCTGCCATCCCAAGAACAAACCTCGAAGGCAAGCATGGCAAATAAAAGCTTTCCATGCAGCCTCGTTTTGCGGTCCACCGCCCGCCTGCTTAATATCATCCTGACTTATACCTAGCCTATGGGCTTCGATAGTGCCAGCATGACGGCCCCCATGAGTTTTCCTAGGACTGTTGACATTGCGCTGATCATAAAGGGCTTCCACAGTACGATAAGTTGGTTGAGAGGCGAGACTTTTTGTCCTCTCTTTATTGCCCGGAATGACCTTGAGTTGGACGAAGTCAGAACTGCTAATTGACTTTACGACGTCTTTAATTTGAAGGCTCTTGGATTTTTCGTGATCCGAGCCCTTGTGATGAAAGATGATATTAGGATAATAGAAAGTAGAACAAGAAAAGAATGTTAATATAATCCATTCATCATTACTACAACACAATAAAGAAAAAAAATGAAATTAGAAAAAAAAAAAAAAAAAAAAAAAAAGACAGCATGATAAAGTTGAAATTGAGAACTTACTTGCCAAAGTTGATACATGTAAAAGGCAAAAGCACTAAAGACGCATCTACGTACATCTTCATGTCGCAATGCACACGCATATTATTCTTGTTGGTCTTACCCTTGTTAATTTTGAAGGTGAGCCCAATCGGTTGTTGTCCTCCTTCAGTTCTTTGTGTAATGATGGTGCTGAAGCAATCCGCAAAGTTTAAGTTTCAAAGATCCTCATCCCGAAGCAGCATATTATGCCGTGCAGTTAGACAGAACATGTCCCGATAATTAGTATCATACTCACGCGCTCGCATGTTTGGCGAATGTCTTTCCTTCGTCCAAAGTCCCATCAATATACTGTGGAACTGCACGGGGGTGTAAGAATCTCGAAGTGTACAGCCTGCTTCACGCCTGCCACCCGATCGAACGACATGAGTGTGAAGACTCTCTATATGCTGGATAAGGATGGTTTGGAGTAGCTTCATTTGAGATGGCGAAAGATCCCAACTCACATCGTTTCGCTCGGCCTGTAGTGAATGGATTCGAATCAGGGCCTTTTTAGCCATCTTTATAGTCTCAGTACCGAGTGATACCGATACGGTTTTTTTACCAGTTTTATCGACTGGAGCAGCTTCTATTACTATGTCAAAGGCCAACGGCGAGGAGAATATGGGGAGAGAGGAAGTTTCGATAAAAACGATATAATACTAACAGAATGTCGACATTACTATGTCGTCATATACGCGGCACCTTAAATAATACACAGTTGCTCGACATACTTTCGACTAGGCTAACCCCGTGTATAGCCGAAGAATCCTCCTCAGCGGCAAGGTGCGTACGGAAATCTGCTCCTGGTTTAGTGCGCTTGAGTATAGTCTTCTTGAGGATGACTTCTCGAAAAAAACAAACGACTTTATCCTGTGAGTCCACCAGATATAGGGCACGACCATCTTTATCTTCATACCGTTCGCGATATTTCTCACAAAATGCCTGTTTAGCACATTAAGGGCCCATGTCAAGAATGATTTATTAGATGGAGTTGTTAATATTATAGACCCTCTGGCTAGTTGATAGCATTAGAGGAAAATACGAATACCCTGTTAAATTTTATCCGTTACATACCTTCCACAGACGATAGGTGGGCTGATATGAGGCAAGCGTTTTTGGTTTAATCCCTGAGCAGTCATTCATGTCATCAACGGATCGTTCCTCAGCATCCGGGGGGTCCTGACTCTGATACTCGGAAACATATTGCAAAGGTATCGACCTGTCAAGCGATTGATCTAGCCTGACCGCGGGTTCGGCGGGCAAAGATTGATACGGACGCGGATGTAGCTGACTTCTTGACTTTATAAGTTGCTGTTGTGGTGCTTGCGATGCGTTCTTAGGACGTCCTCTGGAACGCTTAAGTGATGGGGAAAGCGGTAGCGGTGGTATTTCTACATCTAAGGACGGTGCAGCTGTGAGGACATTGGAAGACGCCATTGTAGACACCGTGGCTGACCCTAGGCTTGACCCTGGCAGCATCCGTTCCTCTGAAAAGAATCCAAATTCCTTTTCCATTTTTGCTTTTTGAAAAAAATAAAAATAAAAAATCGACTTCTCTAAGATTAACTCTGCGAAATGACAAAAGTCAGAGAAATGAGAAGTCGATTGCTGAATGCTACGGCTAAAGCAGAATGGCTTTGGGATCTCGACGCAACAAGAAGAGGATAATGTAGGCCGATGAAAGGATGGACAGAATAAAGAGAATATCATACTTCATCTACAAGCACTGGACGCGCTTTTGACAAGCGAAAATAAAAAAAACTGGTAAGTGCGTTTACCAACTTTCTGTTCCCTTTTATGGAAATTATAACAAAACCAAAGCATTTTCCTCTCCAAAAAGGCAGGAGTTTACAGAGACGCACTGTCCCCTGAAGAAACGAAAATAATTTCTGACACATAATTTTCAGGCACAGTAAATTGCCGTCTTTTTGCCGTCTTTTTGCCGTCTTCTGCCGTCCTCGATTTTCTTTGACTAGTTCTGTTGGTCCCCCCCATGTGTCTTCTGTGAGGCTATCACCTTGGTATTTCCAGTGGGGCTGACCCATTTATTGATTATATCCAATAAGTTGATGTGCGTCATAATATTTAGCAGTTTTTCGCTGTGCAATAAATAGGGGAATCATTTTATTAAATGTCGAGTAGATCCTAGAAGAAGAAGAAGGAATGGATCCTTACAACCGCCCAACAGGGTCGCGGCTCGAGCATGTTTCGGCGCTGTACGGCGTGGGAAGGACAAGGTAGATTTTTGGCCAAGATTGGCTCCACGCTGAAGTCTGAGCTTCATGTCTGCATCCCTTGGAACGAGCTATTGAATACTGCGGTTTGGCACAGCATGGGCTTGGACCTCTCTATGTATGATTTACTAGTGATCGTTATATAAAAGAGTGTTAATCCTAGCTTGGATTGATGGGACAACCTTTTGTAAATTATTAGTGCCGATGGGTTTGCAGAGACTGTCCGCCAGGAGCCTTAGTATGGCGCTTGCTGCATTGTTTCCAACTAAGTCCAATGTCCTACTGTTTTCGGGAACCAGATTCAGAAGGCTTTTTATAAGGTGCATAGTGGTTTCCGCTCCTTGCATCTGTTTGTCACCCACCAGCTCTTCCAGAATGACTTTTCAATGCTTCTTGTTTGAAGCAGCTTGCTAAAGATCATAGTTGCCGCTCTTACCCCATTCATGCCATTGCCTTGGTAATAATTCGCCAACTGGAAAACAGTTATGGGATGGCACTTCCAATCCGCAAACAGAAAAAATATAGAAGCACATTCCGAGTAAGTAGACTCTTTATCAAACTTGGAACGGAGCTGCCTCTCTACAAGGATATTATTTTTCCAATCTTTCCTTCCCCAAATGGTGGCTGTCCTTGTTATGTTGGCTTTGTTGTTACTGGCTCCTACCTCAATTTGGCCAGACATTAGCTCAACAGAAGCTGCTACTAAAGCACTCCATGTCAAGGTACCAATGATAAGTTTTTGGCTGTTGTCGTGGTCTAGAATGGAGACTTTCACATCTTGCCTCAAAGGCTTCACTTTGTCAAAGCCATGATTGTCTTCTGTCGGGGACCGCCCATAGACTTCAGCCTTCAATACCAGGTACGCCAGTTTCCCTGTCATGATTATTGCCCCTGCCAACTGCTGGGCGATTTTCTCCTTGCAAGTTCTGTGTTTGCTATAATAAAGTGATGGATCAAGAAAGTGTCTAAGAAAAATTAATTTTTTTTCCTGTTTTTTCTGTTTTTTCTGTTTTTTCTGTTTTTTTAAAAATAATGATAAAATAAAAGGCCCCAGACAGCTCCCAGTGAGGGCTTCCTTGGGCCTCATAAATGGCTCAGCTCCACTGGAAATACCAAGGTGATAGCCTCACAGAAGACACATGGGGGGGACCAACAGAACTAGTCAAAGAAAATCGAGGACGGCAGAAGACGGCAAAAAGACGGCAAAAAGACGGCAATTTACTGTGCCTGAAAATTATGTGTCAGAAATTATTTTCGTTTCTTCAGGGGACAGTGCGTCTCTGTAAACTCCTGCCTTTTTGGAGAGGAAAATGCTTTGGTTTTGTTATAATTTCCATAAAAGGGAACAGAAAGTTGGTAAACGCACTTACCAGTTTTTTTTATTTTCGCTTGTCAAAAGCGCGTCCAGTGCTTGTAGATGAAGTATGATATTCTCTTTATTCTGTCCATCCTTTCATCGGCCTACATTATCCTCTTCTTGTTGCGTCGAGATCCCAAAGCCATTCTGCTTTAGCCGTAGCATTCAGCAATCGACTTCTCATTTCTCTGACTTTTGTCATTTCGCAGAGTTAATCTTAGAGAAGTCGATTTTTTATTTTTATTTTTTTCAAAAAGCAAAAATGGAAAAGGAATTTGGATTCTTTTCAGAGGAACGGATGCTGCCAGGGTCAAGCCTAGGGTCAGCCACGGTGTCTACAATGGCGTCTTCCAATGTCCTCACAGCTGCACCGTCCTTAGATGTAGAAATACCACCGCTACCGCTTTCCCCATCACTTAAGCGTTCCAGAGGACGTCCTAAGAACGCATCGCAAGCACCACAACAGCAACTTATAAAGTCAAGAAGTCAGCTACATCCGCGTCCGTATCAATCTTTGCCCGCCGAACCCGCGGTCAGGCTAGATCAATCGCTTGACAGGTCGATACCTTTGCAATATGTTTCCGAGTATCAGAGTCAGGACCCCCCGGATGCTGAGGAACGATCCGTTGATGACATGAATGACTGCTCAGGGATTAAACCAAAAACGCTTGCCTCATATCAGCCCACCTATCGTCTGTGGAAGGTATGTAACGGATAAAATTTAACAGGGTATTCGTATTTTCCTCTAATGCTATCAACTAGCCAGAGGGTCTATAATATTAACAACTCCATCTAATAAATCATTCTTGACATGGGCCCTTAATGTGCTAAACAGGCATTTTGTGAGAAATATCGCGAACGGTATGAAGATAAAGATGGTCGTGCCCTATATCTGGTGGACTCACAGGATAAAGTCGTTTGTTTTTTTCGAGAAGTCATCCTCAAGAAGACTATACTCAAGCGCACTAAACCAGGAGCAGATTTCCGTACGCACCTTGCCGCTGAGGAGGATTCTTCGGCTATACACGGGGTTAGCCTAGTCGAAAGTATGTCGAGCAACTGTGTATTATTTAAGGTGCCGCGTATATGACGACATAGTAATGTCGACATTCTGTTAGTATTATATCGTTTTTATCGAAACTTCCTCTCTCCCCATATTCTCCTCGCCGTTGGCCTTTGACATAGTAATAGAAGCTGCTCCAGTCGATAAAACTGGTAAAAAAACCGTATCGGTATCACTCGGTACTGAGACTATAAAGATGGCTAAAAAGGCCCTGATTCGAATCCATTCACTACAGGCCGAGCGAAACGATGTGAGTTGGGATCTTTCGCCATCTCAAATGAAGCTACTCCAAACCATCCTTATCCAGCATATAGAGAGTCTTCACACTCATGTCGTTCGATCGGGTGGCAGGCGTGAAGCAGGCTGTACACTTCGAGATTCTTACACCCCCGTGCAGTTCCACAGTATATTGATGGGACTTTGGACGAAGGAAAGACATTCGCCAAACATGCGAGCGCGTGAGTATGATACTAATTATCGGGACATGTTCTGTCTAACTGCACGGCATAATATGCTGCTTCGGGATGAGGATCTTTGAAACTTAAACTTTGCGGATTGCTTCAGCACCATCATTACACAAAGAACTGAAGGAGGACAACAACCGATTGGGCTCACCTTCAAAATTAACAAGGGTAAGACCAACAAGAATAATATGCGTGTGCATTGCGACATGAAGATGTACGTAGATGCGTCTTTAGTGCTTTTGCCTTTTACATGTATCAACTTTGGCAAGTAAGTTCTCAATTTCAACTTTATCATGCTGTCTTTTTTTTTTTTTTTTTTTTTTTTTCTAATTTCATTTTTTTTCTTTATTGTGTTGTAGTAATGATGAATGGATTATATTAACATTCTTTTCTTGTTCTACTTTCTATTATCCTAATATCATCTTTCATCACAAGGGCTCGGATCACGAAAAATCCAAGAGCCTTCAAATTAAAGACGTCGTAAAGTCAATTAGCAGTTCTGACTTCGTCCAACTCAAGGTCATTCCGGGCAATAAAGAGAGGACAAAAAGTCTCGCCTCTCAACCAACTTATCGTACTGTGGAAGCCCTTTATGATCAGCGCAATGTCAACAGTCCTAGGAAAACTCATGGGGGCCGTCATGCTGGCACTATCGAAGCCCATAGGCTAGGTATAAGTCAGGATGATATTAAGCAGGCGGGCGGTGGACCGCAAAACGAGGCTGCATGGAAAGCTTTTATTTGCCATGCTTGCCTTCGAGGTTTGTTCTTGGGATGGCAGGGTTCTATTCTAAGTCATTCTTCCTCCTTCGGAACTCTATCAGGCCATCGATGAGAATATGAAGAAATTTAAATAGAGTTCTGTGCTAGTTGTATATTTTGAAAAAAAAAAAAAAAAAACGCGTAAATTCAAATTAGCCTGCTTCATTTCTAACTCTTTGTCTTCCTTCTCTCTGAGATAGATAAAATTAGCCGTCCTTTCCATAATGGTATTTATAAATATCACGGACATGCTAGCTATTTTGATTAGTTCATTAGCTTATAATTATTTATTTTTCTTAATGCAAGCTATAGGTCCTCACTACTGATACCTTAGTTGCCTCGAGTAACGGTGAGGATGCAACTGAAGAGGTCCTTGAGCCAGGCTTCGAATTCTACGATCACGATGAAGCTACCGATGTTGATACGGATCCTGAAGAGCACGACTGTGATGATGGTGAAGACTATTCTTCAGATGTGTCAGATTCCGAGCCAGAAATAGTGTGGGGGCCAGTTGAACCATCCGGTGAAGACAACACCTCTGGGAATGATCTCGCAACAGAATCTCTTAAGAAAACTTTCGTTGAGGCGCCATCTGAAAATAACGTAGAAGAAGTAGAGGATATATCGAGGTTGAGTCAAGATAAGGAGGCTCGTGCAATCAGTCTGGCTTCCACAATTGTGTCTACGCAGCTACAAGAATACTCTTGGATTGAGTTGATGGTCCCAGAGACTAAGATTAGGGATATTGTTGATGGCCTCGGGATTAAGAAACAGGATTACGATTATTTGCCGCACGTATTCTATGTGGACAAAAGAGACTTTGAACTGTGGAAGGACCGAGATGGCAGCGATTACTTTTTTATTTGGAATAAAGGCAACTCTGAGATAAATGGTAGAAATGAAGACAATGAAGACTCTGAAATCACCAACGACAATGATAGCAAAGGCAAACTGCGTTCATTTCAACTTTATTTCTGCCACTGTGCAGGCGCCCCACGCAAAAAAAAGATTACTGACCAAGATCAACTACTTGAGAGGCCAGCCAAGAAAACTCGCAATGTTTATAAACCGACCAAGAAAGTAGGCTGTAAAGCCAGACTAATTGTTCATGACGTAAAACCCAATATAGAAGAGTTCGCAAGTAGAGGTGAAAGGAACCAGCTGCGTGTGATATATTACTACAAGCACACTGGGCATACTCTTGCTAGTCTCGAGAACTTTCAACATCTCAGAGTGACAGAAGAAACAAAATCGCGAATTCGAAACCTTGTCCGTTTAGGTCTCTGTACAAGAAAGATTCTGACAAGGATAAACCTGTCTGGCAGCCAGGCATTCTCGCGACACCAGAGAGGGTCTTTGCAGCGTGACCATGTCCTGAAGTATGAAGATGTGTACAATATTTATTATAAATATTCAAGTGGACAGAGTCAGCTTGAAAAGAATGACTTAGTCTCGAAGAGGCTCTGGATGGGCAAACTAAAGGACAAGGGCTTCACTGTATTCATGCTCGACTACCACATCGTAATAGACGGGGTGAATCATGCAAGGTTTGCATATGGGTTTATGTCGCCGTTCCAGAAATCAGTTTATGGATCCAATTTTAAACACATTGGGCTATATTCAACGCATGGAACAAATCGCTCTAAACACGAGCTTTACACCATAATTGTGCGGAACCCACAAAGTCTGAGTGCTATCCCAGTTGCCTTCTTGCTTACGAACGATCATAGCCATGTACCGTTGGCAAAATGCTTGAAACATATCAGAGAAACCATTGGCTCTCCTGAATACATCACCACTGATGATGCTCGAGCAGAATACAAAGCAATCCGATTGGCGTTTGGAGACTCAGTCACAGTTCATTTATGTCTATGGCATGTTATGAAAGCTTGGAGCACCAAGCTTCGAAATGATATCCGTGCAACGCAAGACAAGGCTGCTAAGGAGTTGAGGGAGGAAGCGATGGGAGAGCTCCGTAGAATTTTGTTTAATCCAAACCATACGCAAGCTGAGACTCTTATTTCAGAATTCGAGTTGAAATGGCAGGATCATAATGAGGGCAAAGTCTGGAATTATTTTAGAGAACGCTACCTCAGTAAAGACCGAAGGAGAAGGTGGATGAAATGTTATCGTATGGGAAAGTTTTATGCCGGGATGGATACTAACAATTACGTCGAGTCCTGGCATAACCACCTTAAGTCGCACTTCTTACGAGGTTATACAAACTGCAGGGGAGATAGATTGGTTTATATCTTAACTCATGATGTAGATGAGTTTTACCAAATGATGCCAATGCAGACTATGCGACCCTATGGGCGACATTTAAAAGGCGAGAGAGATGACTTTCACCAAAGAAAATTTCTAGATGGTCTAGAAGACCTTCCACAGCGCATTGTTCACGAGCAGCAAGTGGGAGACCGAATCGTTTACTGTGTGCGCTCGTTCTCCGTATCTGGCGGATATTATTTCGTGGTTGGCACGAATGAAACTATCTCAAGATGTAACTGTCAGTACTTTATGTATTCTCAGCGCCCCTGCAGACATATGTATCTTTTGATCAAGTTCATAAGGATAACCCAGACCCACCACTCCACATCATACATGATGTCCTTGAGAGGGCCCCTGATAGACATGCTATGATTCTAAATAGAGTAATTTCTGGAATTTATAGTCTCTCATCCATCTTTAAACAGTTAGGATGGTTATTTTTGTAAACTAAGTCGCTGTAAAAATACCACAGTTGGATTCAGCATTGAATATGGTGAAGTTTGAAGGTTTTATCATAGAGCTCTGCTTTTTTTACTAATTTCAACGAAACATTTTTTTAAGCAAGTATCTACCAAGCTACACTTGGTTTCCAAAGTCGGTTTTTATGTCACTACGGATACTCAATTTCTTCAGAAACTTCAATTACTACCCTAGATCGCTTTATATTAGTGTCTTTTGACATTATCCAAAGTTCAGTTTGGGTTGAGGTTCATTTGAATGATTTTTATATATGAGAACTGGTTTTCCCATACGATTATGGACTTGGAGACAGGTTAGAGTGAACTTCCATATATATTTTGCCTCACATGACCCACATGACTTGTATGGAAATAACTTTTATTTTTTGTTTAAGGGTGTCGCATATTTGGCTAACTTGAGTATCTAAGGGGACTCACGCCTTGAATCAACATCCAGGCAGCATTACTTTTGTTAACCATAAAGCTGATCCTGCAGAGCTTGGGACATATAGGGTCTTTCTAAGTATTGGGAGGTTTTGGGTTAGAGCCCAGAGTGGCAGATACCATCTAATAATCACGGACAAATGCCGCGCCTATTCTTTTTTTGTTTCAAATAATAAAAAAAGTTAAGCCACGGATCATGTTACACGAAAGTAGGATTCAGCGATGCAACTCATCTACACGCGTTCCACTTCACTCATCTCACAACTCTTCAAGAACAAAGTTCTATAATTCTTTATAAAACAAAGAAACATCCATGGAGTTGTTTCATCAACAATTCATTCCGCCATGGCTGGCAGGAATCTCTTGTGTTCTTTTCACACTCCTGTTTGTAGGCTCGCTCTACTTGTTTCCTATCCCAGGCGATAACTCAAGGGTCAAGGATAAAGAGATCAATAGGTCTTCACCAGAATATCAATCTCTGAGACGTAGATTGGGCAGAGACCATCCACTAGTGATCCAGCAAAGGGTCAAGGGCACTATTTTGACTATGATTCTCGTCCCCATTTACCTTTGGTTTGTCTTTTCATATACTGGAGTCCTTTCATCAGAGCTGGTAAAAGAATGAAAGAAAGAAAGAAAGAAAGAAAAAAAAAAGATATTTCACTTTTTTAATTGTATATTGTCTCTCATGCCTTTTATGCTCTTTGATTTATCTTTTTTTACTTACAAAGGTCGAATATGTCTATCTTACTAAACTGAGATAGACATTCGCAGCAAGGTTCAATATTTTTCTTCGACTTCTTGGCATTATGATCCCATCAAATCCAATCAAACTGTTAAGCCATTTGTTTATGCCAGTGGCATTGGTGGCGATTTTGTTCCTTGGTCCACTGTTCAAGATGTTCCTTAACAAGGAGCTTCCATTCCAATCTCAATTTCAATGGACAGCTCATTGGTGTCACTTCAAAGAGTGGATAGGTATTCGTAACTATATTGTGGTAAGGAGAAACGACCATACTTGAAGAGGGAAAAAAAAATATAAGGAAGGAGGCTCTTGCAATGGAGGAAAAAAAAAAAAAAAAAAAAAAAGACGGTCTGATATCAATTGAATGTTTGCTGTCATAGGGACCTATTTCTGAAGAACATGTTTTCAGAGCTTGTATGGTCGCAATTGCTGCTTGTTCTGGAGCCTCAGTGAATGCCATGGTGTTTGGTCTTTCGCTTGTTTTTGGAATAGGTGAGTAATGATCGGAGGATTCTCAGTTGCTTCTCATTAATATTTGTATTTATTGGCTTGCAATGCGTTTTCTTACAGAGAATCTTCATATTACTTTAGCTCATTTACATCATGCATACGAGTCCTATGTCAAAAATGGTCGAACGCGCCAAGCACTTGTACAATCAATCATGGTGGCACTACTACAGTTGACCTATACATCCTTGTTTGGTTGGTTTGCTACGTTCCTGTTCCTGAGAACTTCAAATATTTTAGGGCCCTGTTTAAGTCATATATTCTGTAATATGATGGGGTTACCAGATCTCTCCGATATTCAGCTTTATGGACATTGGAAGAAATGGATATACTTTTCGTTTCTCCTCGGAATGGTTTCGTTTGGTGTATTATTAGGACCAATGACAAATCCATCGCTTTATGGTGATGCCACGAGCTCTATATACTGGCCGTTGATGGTCGCATAAAACACGTAGTACTATATATATATGTATATATTTCTATATATTTTGTTGATCATCAAATGCATGCTTGATGCTTGTGTTTTCAGTTTAAGGTTGATGTTGTGTAATGACCACTTTTTTTTAAAGAATGTGACACATGTGATGTGAAGGGACGGGGCTTGGCCGTTGCAGATTTGATATCACTGTAACAATGACAGGGTACCTTTCAATGATTGGTATCGCTAACGTAAAGACAGATGTTTTCGCCCGTTTCTTTTTTTTTTTTTTCCCTTCGTCAATTCGTCAATTAGACTATCAGTTACACCGACTGAAGAGTCTTTTTGCCTTTTTTGTTAAAATACATAAAAAGCGTTTTGGGAACTCGGGAAAATGCTGTGGCTGTGACATTCCTATTTTAAACTATGCTAATTGAGGCTATGCTCCAATGAGAAACTATTCATTGCTCGATTAAATTCCCATTTTAACAATTACATGCACCATTAGATGGAGCAAAGAGAAATGCAGTCCTTGACATTAAAAAAGAATCGCTTTAACCTCCGGTTGTACGGGTCTGTCTAAATAAAGACCAGGGAGAAAATAGAAAGCAAAAAGGGGGTACAAGGAAAATATAAAGGAATTACAAATAGGGCTGTTACTAAGCAACGATGACAGATCCTTTCCTTTCTTTTTTATTTTTTCTCATTCTCATTCTCTCCTCTTCCTGTCTGTCCGAAGGTATTGTAAAAAGTGCTGCGGCTCACTTGGCTTTATAATAACCACGTCCAGCAGGCACACTAACTTTGGCCTGACTTTTTTTTTTGTCTCACGCTCTACTCCTTTCACCCATACACATTCTCTCATTCTTTTGCCTCTTCCTCTTATACCACTTCATCTAACTCTCATCTGCATTCGACCTTCATTCAAGACTTCTAAAACGCTACATAAAATCCATCTTTTTTTATTTTTTATTTTTTATTTTTTTTTCTTGAACCATCAGCTGTTCTGCGCCCGTTGCCTTTAGCCTGTGCAACAGACACGGACCATCCGCCCAGGCCATCAAACACCATGGTACTGTCCGACGCATTATCTTCTGCATTTTATTACTGTTCCCAATGTCATATTCAACTGCAGCAACGATACAAAGATGCTAGAGCTCGATCACGGCTTCGTTCACAGTTGCAATCGCGGTCTCGAGAGTGTTATTCGCTTCCGTTTCTCGCTACTGCAGTGCTCCTGCTCAGTACACTCACTACCAACATTACCCAAGCACAGACCTCGTCGCCTTTAATATACACACCTCGTCACAGTGCAGGATCAAGCATTGCCAACAATACGCTCTTTATTATCTCAGGGACTGCTTCGGTCTCGCCACCCTATTCTGCAACAACAGACACACTAGCTATTTCTCTTAATAAGCCTTTCAACACTGGATCCATTCCATGGCGAAGATTACAAGGAGGCTACTCTGTCCATGACGCTCGTGTAGCAGCAACTGTGGATGAGAAGCACTTGGTTCTAGCTGGTGTGAGAGATCAAGGAGCACAGATAGTCACCGTATATACCTTAGAGTCCAACACTTGGACGACCTTGCCGCCCACTGCCCTCATAAACGCGTCGCCACAGGCGCCTAGGACCTCTGTAGGGATCGCAACAGATAAGGAGACTGGACTGATGGTATTATACGGTGGCACATCCACCACTGCAGGCACTTCTCCTGCATCGAATTCGTATTCACTCTCGTTTGAGTTTGACTTTCTGGATACGCGACCAATACTGGAAAAGTGGAGTTGGTCAGCAGTAGTTGACAGCAATGTATCGCCGCCTGGACTTCATCAACCCATTACATTGTATTTGCCAACACATCGCGCAACACTGATTATGGGCGGATGCAATGGCATCAACTTAAACAATGGCAATATCACACAGTGTGCAAGTTTCACGTCGGGATATCTAGTCAACTCAAAATTATTGGCCGATACGAAGGGGACTTCTGCGCCTGTATCGCAGGTGAGCATGAGGGGCTTTGATATACCGCTACCACGACTCTCGCCGTGTGCTGCAGTGCTGGCCAATGGCGATGTATTCATGTATGGTGGCACGACGGTTAATGGGAGTCTTGGTGATGTGTGGGTTTTGAACACCAATTCTTGGATGTGGACATCTAAAAATATCGTAAACATGCCATTTGCCGGTCGCGCTGGAGCAACATGTCAGCTCGCTGCAGCGGACCAATTGATTGTAGTTGGAGGTACGGTTTTTTCTTTAGTTGGAGAGTTGCAAAAAAAAAAAAAAGAAAGAAAGAAAGAAAGAAAGAAAGGGTTTGATAACGTGTTCTCGGATTAAACTCTTGCTATTTGATAAACATAGGCTTTGACGGCGCATTGACAGGACCTAGACAGTTTTCGTTGCCTCAAGTTGCGATTATTAATACAACATCATGGGAATGGATATCCACTTTCACTCCGCCATTGACTATAACGACAACTCCGCCAAAAGGACTTGCAGTGGCGGTCATCATTGGAATTACTGCGGGAAGCTGCTTTCTGATAGCTGTATTTTGCGCTGGGGTGGGTTATTTGATCCTGCGACGGCGTGAAAAAAGATTCAAATCGCACAAGGAGATATTTAAGGCTGTACGAGCGTCAAAGTCCCAGGAACCACTTATGAGCTCGGACACTTCCCCAGCAGGATCAGAGCCATCATCGACGCCCATGATACCATTCAGAATTACCTATCATCCCAATCAGAGCAACTCTGAGTCCATATCCCAGGTATCATTGCGATCTAAGGAAAGACAGCCATTTTTGATTATTCCTTTTGCGCCTGATAATGCATCGACATCCACTATAAATTTAAGTACCACCGATACAGCGGATATGTCCAGCACTATTGGAAATAATACCATTATGATGTCTGCTAAACAGAAAAACGACGAAGGGATAGGGGCAAGCAATGACCTATATTCAAAAGGATACCAGCTTCCGCAAACATTAGCCGACATCCAGCATGTACAGTATGTCAAAACCCTTCAGCACCAGAAGCAATACGAGAGGCGAATGCGAGAAATGGGGCAACGACAAGCACAGGGATCGCATCATCGGCTGCATCGACAAGGGACGCATCATACTATTCTTAGGCAAGGTGAAAATGATGATAATAATGATGGTGTGGATTTGGCAACTAGTGTGATTCAGCTAAAGGAGATTGATGTCGGTGAGGAGCCCATGATGGGATCATGGAACAATATAGAAGACGATACAATGTTGCTTTCGTCACATCTTGACACTTCTAAGCTCAATATCAATCCCTTTTAAAAAAAAAAAAAAAAAAAAAAAAGCTTTATAAGCATGTATATTACTACTGTTATATAATATATCAAGACAATTCTTATCATATATATATATATATATATATACACATATATTTCAATTCCTGTATACATGTGAATTTATACTTTTTTTATCAGTGACTTGCGAGTTGAATTTATGAATATAATCTATGTACATATGTATTAAAATGAGTAATAAAATGGGTATCTAAATTGAGGATTGGGATGTAAGGAAAGGGAGTGTGTGGTTTTGGCTTAGTACCGGATGGGTGCAATGCCAATAGAAGGCTTGTCAGAGAGATCAAAGACGCAGTAGTTGTTTTTGATAAAGACGTCGCCCAAAACCCAGAGGCCCTCTAGACCACCCTGGACTCCTGAATAGCAGAGAGAGCTTCCTTCCTTGGTGGGCTCCCAGGCGAGATCAGCCACAGGAACATGAAAGTCCTTGCCAGCAAGGGTGAGATAGATGTTTTGAGTCGAGCTAGCTAATGAGCATGGGACAACCCAAGCAAACTCATCTTTCGAGTAGAAAGCACCCTTAATATTCTTATGGATTGCCTCTGAAGCAGCGTCACTGACGAGCAGGAGGGTTGAGCCTGTGTCCACGATTGCTTCTGAAGCTTGAGCTAAAGACTGGCCTTCGAATTTCAAGTCCGAGACATGAACTTGCCAGTAACCTTGTTTCGTCACGGGGACAGAGGTGAGACGACCCTTGTATCGATTATGATCAATGGCACCAAAGAGATAATAACCACCTTCACCACCGTTCATGCGAATAGAGGGTAAATAGACTGAGAAGATGGGCCTTGTGATGGCTTTGGATGCGATAGCATTGTCCATGAAGGTCTTGACGCCCTTGACGGTTTGTTTACTATTGAAGGCCAAGCCAAAGATACCGTCTTCTGGGGCTTGTGCAAATGTAATGGATTCATTGAGAGCAAGGCCAATTGTTTGATGAACTTTGACGCCTCCAACTTCAACTACGTCCTGACCAAGAATCCCACTCGCGCTTGAACCTTCACCATATCGGATCGTCCATGGACGACCATCCTTTTGGAAAGTACTTGATTTGGTGGCGTCGAAGCGACGATGAGCTTTGCAGCCTACCATTTCACATTCTGCTGAGGGGAACCAAATATCGGCAGAGCCCTAAAAGGAAGGAGAAGGGAAACAAAAACATGAAAATATTAGCATATGAAAAAAAGGAAAAAATATAAAAGAGATGCCCAGTACTTTTTCAACTCCAACTTACAGTGTCAAAGACCAGGTTCACTGTTTGAGGCGGAGTACCGATGTTAACCGGACCATAATACTAAGAACCGACACAAACATGAAATAAATTAGTCTTAGCTCGCCTTTAAAAATAAGTAAATAAAGATATTAGTTGTCATTGTTATTATTCTGTTGCTTACCTGAATATCAAGACCATGATTCATTACGGAAGCACGACCAAGATCTTTTTTATGAGGTGAACGAGGGCTCAAAAGATTGGGAACGTGGTCGTATGGTCCAAGGTTCAGGTTGAGCTCAGGATAGCGGTGGCTGATTTTGGCCATGGCTGCTCGAAAGTCTCGCTTGTGGTTCGGTCTTTTGACAAGGGGAACACGAAGGCCATGATGTTGAAGCCCATCCGATTGAGATCCCGAAGCAGGAGCAGTCTCGACCACTGTACATGTGGTCAAGACTGCGATAGCGAATGAGATGGCGGCAACAATTTTCATTACTGTAAGTATGGAAAGTATGGAAAGGGATGAGGTGGCAAAAAAAAAAAAAAAAAAAAAAAAAAAGATTTGTTCCAGAGAGAAACCAAGCGCTATTTAAATGGTTTCAGAACCCCTTTGCCAGTGGAGGTATGTGCGGAGGTAAAAAGGGTCATCCATGCTTGATGACCTGCATGATCTGAGATGGTTTTTTTATTTTTTCTTATAAGGTTCATAACAGCAATTTATTTTTCTTATTTCAAGGGGAAATTGACCCGCCACCACAAGGGAAAAGCTTAATTCCAGTGCCTTGATAATAAAAATTTTAGCCTTGTGTAACATTGATCTTTTTGCAGCTGAAACACAAATAGGAGATCGTCGCGCATGTGGTGGTACATGTATGGCATAAGGGAAATAGAGTGTCTATCATCTTGGTATCTTAGTCAAGTTGAACGTTTCTTGAATAGCGTGTGAACCACCTTGACTGGAATGTTGAATATGAATGCTTCCTGTGTGGCGTAGCGATGGGTCAATTGATCTGCTTTGCACAGGAACAAAGCATTGAGAAACATTAAAAAGTTGTAAATGTCTTTTTGGTATATATTTCTCGTCATATTATCAGCATTTACATTGGATCTCTTTTTCAAAAAGGAGGGAGTCCATCCTCGTAGAAATATATCAATCGGATAGCTCTTCCAGCCACGACCACATTTGAGCTATGTATATATATTTTTAAACTCAAACGATAATATCATGCCATCTGTTACGAACTCACGAACGAATGATTATATTCAACATAATATATATATATATGGTGTCGCGACAAGCAATAATAGTTTATTTAATTTGTAGGGGCTTAATAGACTCTAACTTGACACCACCACGCCTCTTCACTGCTTTGTTGATAGGTTTACTTCCAACATCTGGTACATATCCTGTTTTTTCTTTTATGATTTTATGGTTCTCTAGATTCTTTTTTTTTTAATGCCTTGCAATCTGACTCGTGATTTCGACCAATGTCTCGACTTGATCCTCATACTCTGCCCACAAGTAAGGCCGCAATTTATTGCGTCGTTCATCCCCAAAGACTTCTCGTCGCTTTTGATTGAGGTACCTAAACATAATGTCTTTGACTTCATTATGCTCATAACCCCACATTAGGACGTGATCCAGCGTTGACTCAGGGTCAAGATGTTTTTGGATTTGCTGAAGCGTTTCTGCCTGTAGCTCCTTATCCTCCAACACAGCTGCGGCTCGATACAATGCACCCCAGCGTTTTAGGCCAAGTCCAGCGATAGAAAGAGGGTATTGGTGATGATTGCGGTAGCGGTGGTATTGACATTGGCATCTCTGTAGCCCTGAGGAGTGAGAGCTTCTCCGCGTCTCCGTAATGATTTTTTCTAGGTTTAGTCCAACATTAGCACTGATGATATGATGTACCTGCGAATTCCTTGTGGAGTAGTCAACATGATCTTGTTTCACAGCGTCATGTGAATAATGATCAAGTTCTTTGCACAAGGTGGAATTCAATTCGTCCACGATTGGTTCTCTGGTATAGAGGTAGTCTAAAAGATAATCCATGATCTCTAGGTTGAACATGTCGTTCGAAAGTTCAACTCTGTACTTGCCGTTTTCATCCGCCTGAGCTTCCTTAAAATTTCCATTTAGCATACGTGAAAAAAATGCTGTGGTCTCCAGTATACACTTGTGCGCTCGGAAAACTGCAGTTTGCGGATGTGAAGGACCATTTCTACTGTGAGTCTGATAAGACTGAACACCATCCCCTGGGCTGCCATCCACCTTGCCATCATTGAAAGTAGTACTTGTGCCTTCTGTATGCGGGCGATGGTTTAGTCGACATTGCTGTTGTTCCTCTGACAACGTCTCGTTTTCCTTTTGTATAGTCTGGTAAGTGCTATCTACGCTGCAGGATTGGGCCGAAGAAAATCGGTTTTTATTTGTGTCTCGACTGAAGGGTAGTGTAGTCGTATCCTTGATGATGATTTCAACATTAGCTGTGGCGGTATCCTTGCGCATGGCCCATAGTAACTTGTCACAATTCTTTAACCGTACACTCGTCTTTGCGTCCATTTGTCGTGGACTGGAGCCAGCCAGCCATAATTGGAAGTGGTACTCTTGTTCTTGGTTTTCGGCCACATCGGCTGCATCAAACACAACTTTTTTTTATCACACATAAAGGGAAAACAAAAAATGAGAATCCTTCCTCTAGTTCTCACTTGAAATTTGTCTATTTTTGCCACGAGAGTAGCTTTTACCATTCTGAGGCCAGCTTTCTCTATTAATGGCATGTACACAGATGTCACGCTTCATTTTGGGACTGTATATATAAAGTGTCCGATAGTTGTCGGAGCGTGCTCGGGATTCAGGATCCTGTGGTAACAATCGGTCGAGAGTAAAATTCAGAAGAACTGAAGAATTGGAGAATGAGGCTGTCTTAACGCCTTCATATGTCGATCCTGGCATGTGTAGCGGAAAAGGGGCAGTTGAATTAAGGGTAGTCGTATTCTGGCGGTTTTGTAATGCGGGCGATGTCTGGATGTCTTGTTGAGTGGTTGAAAACTGCTTTTTAAGAAAGAGTTCTCTTGTTGATTCTGGCGTAGTAGGGGCTGAAGCCAATGGTAGTGGATGAACAAGACGAAGACGCATGTCCCATTGACAAGGTCTATCAGAAGAAGGAGGATGAGTTTCCATTTGAACACCTTGGGCTCCTTGCTGTTGAACCTCTGCGGCAGTAAAGATGACTTGGACTCCTTCTTCAGGTGTAGACTTTGTCCAATGTGATACAATGCGACTTTTGGGTGGGGAAGCATAAGAATCAGAGGATAGTGGCACTCGACTTGTCATCCTTGTGATTGATATGTTATCAGAAGAGAGTAAAGGAGATTTTTCAATCAATGATCGTGTCACCACGAGTAAAATGATCATTCCACAATTTGACGTAATTTTTCAAGCGTGGGTTGAATGAACTTTCTTTTGTTCCTGCGCCACCACTTTCCAGTCAGCAATACAAAAAAAAACTCACACACATGCTCATTTCCACACCTCTCACCTCTCCCACATTCACACTCACACCTCACACTCATCAATGTATGCGTACTAATAACATACTTCCCATTGCCATTGCGCCTTTCTTTTTTGTTTGTTGATCCTCCTTTCTCATAAAGCGCATGGAGTCTGACGGAAGTGCCTCAGTGCTTTTAAACAAAAACTCACCAGCTGATGCTGACTACCAATGTTTCCGTTCAAATAATTCTCTTATTCGAGTAAAAGTTACTCATAGCCATGCATTGAACTCAAAATATGTCTATTGGAGCGACCTAAAAACTTGCTTTCCTGGCATCACTCGTGTACAGCTTGGTGATATCGCTCTGACATTCATGAGAGGCATTGATGAAACTCGGTATGGGAAACTTTTTTTAAAAAAAAAAAAGAATGACAAAATGAGTGAATAAATACAAATGTATACATATTTTATGTTCCTATTCCTAGAGACTAAAATTTACCCGCCTTTTTAATTTTGTCCACTTTCGTAGTCTAAAGCCTTTTAGAATCGAGTATATTCCAGGTGCAGTTCTTGATGTGATTTACAACACACACCCATCCATCGCAGGACATGTACAGAGATACCGGAACAATGGCAATACTACTGTTCCCAGCCATAAGAAGCAGTGTAATCAAAATTTGTCAAAAAAGATACGTTGCGACTCGATGAGCACAGGAGAGCAAGGGCAACCGTCAATGTCCTCCGAAAACATTATTGACATGGCCACCTGCATTCAACGGGACGAGGCAAAAACGGCATTGGCTTCACTCGTAGCACGGATTACAAAGGAGACTTTGGCAGAACAAGCAATTGCATCGCCCTCTCAGCATCAATCAGGACAGCCATTGCGGCAACAACAACATCAACACAGGCAATCTCAGCAGTTTCATCAACGCCAGCATTGCCAGCCAGCTATTGACAAATCTACCCTAATTATCGAGTCAAAAGCATCTGCGTCCTCTTCTCTAGCGTCTAGTAATGAATCGGAATATGACGTAGTCGATGATCGGTCGCTGGATCAGGGCTCGGCTGGGGAGAGCAACCCATTAGAGGTTAAAATGGAGGATGCTAGCTCCTCAGCTAACAAGGAAGCTATGAGTCGAGCTGTTAATGGCGCAGATACCCCATTGAGCCATGTCAGAGAATCTTTGAGCTCTATCCACTTAACACAAGATATGGAAAGTCGGAGTATAACCAATGATGCCAATACTGCTGCTGATGAAGACGAAGGACATGATCCGCTTGAGAAAGTAGAACTTGGAGCTATTCTAAGCTTGAATCCCCCACCAGAGGCTGATGATCAGGCTAAAGCTGAATTCGAGGCACTTAAACAGGAGGTGGTTGCGTGTTTCCATTTGTTTTATGCATACTTTAAATCGACAACAGGATGTCAACTTTTACAAGCAGAGCGAAGAGGCAGAGCACTAGTCCCATATCTGGAAGAGGTCCATACTAGGATTCCAAAGAACCATGCTCTGCGTCATCAGCTCGACCTACTCATGCGTGAGACAATCAAGACAAAGATTCTCCTTTGCGAACTACGCCATGTAATGCAGACAGATATTGAAAGAATCACAAACACCCATTATGGAGTGTTTGAACATTTAGAACAAAAAATGTTTGTAATCTTGCCTGAAAGTGACACACTGGAGGATGGATTCAGACTACACTTTTTATGCGAGTCCTGCCAACTTACACAGAAAGTAACCAAAAACAGGAAGAACGACCATAGTGGTGATGTCGAGAAGAAAGCATCAACCTTACCTCACCACCTTCATTTCTCTAAGCATGAGGGCTATAAATTGCGATATGCAGAGGAATTTGTGGCACGTTACGGCCATCATATGTGGGTTCTTCTTCAAATGCTTTTACGTGGGTACAAGGATCAAGGAGTATCTGTCCCTCCTATACCTGCGACCAATGTGCTGGCTAAAAAGATACAGATGGCTATTCGGTTTATTGAATGCGAACCCGATCCGGGCGATCGTGAGGGAAGCTGGGATTTTTCACGTGTTGGCGAGTTTTATGTCCCAGTCAGCGTCTCCAAGGAAGGATCCGTTGGATCACTATTCCGTATCATTACTGAAGAGGGCTATGCGAAGTGGGTCTGTTTTGAACATTACCGGGAGCAGTTTCCTATGAACGATTACAAGGTTCTGCAAGGCGCACTGAAAACTTTTTTCTATAATGAGGCTTTAGGGGCAGTGCTGGTTAGCCTAGGTTCTCGTAAGGAAGCGAGTGATTTCTATGAAGCTATAATTAAGGCATCTAATCTTCAGGAGTTAGGGATGCAACTGAAGTGGGATTTAAATGAGCAGGACATAAAGTTGCTGGAACAAATATTGCCACGAACAACAGCCGTCTCGATCAAGATCCTCGTTCCATTCGAGCATCATATCGTAAGCAAAGCAGTAGCTGTCACATTTAAGGATCAGACACGAGGTATCGATATCCATAACCCAGATTATGCCCTTGGTCACTATAAGACTAATCTAATCAGGCAGGCGATTGACAACCGTCGGATACAAGCGTTCTATCTGGACATTCTCGATCATTCGGCTCACTCAGGCTATGAAGAATCACTGAACTTGACTCTTCGCAATAATACGACTTTTGAAAAATGGAGTCCCGATCAAGCGAATCCTGCGCTCTGTGATATGGTTAGAACAGGAGGTCCTCTTCCAAAGACTAAACTAAGCTTCAACAGCCCAACTTTAGAGCGTGGTTTCTTTTTCATGAATAATGCAATCAAGGGGGATGTAGGGTTAGTGATACTCAAGGCAATGGTTAACTATTATGAACAAGTGTCAATTCGCTCAGGAAAGGATGAGGCACGCAAATCGATGAGGATTCAGCATTGGTCAAGTAGCACGCTGAAATTTGCCAACAAGCTGGAGAGACTCTGGCTGGAAGTGCGCACGCCTCAGGAGACACGTGTACTACAGCAGTTGATCGAACTTAATCCATACCTCAAGAAGCTGCGTATCACCACTGAGGCCAATACATTCTACAAGATCTACGAAGCTGTCCAGAAAACTGTTGTGGTGCGAAAGCACAAAGTCCCGCTGAAATTAGTGCTGAGAGATGGATGGAACACGAGTCTGACCTGGTCCGAGCTGGTGGTCGCGCCTGAAAGGAAGCAGGATCAATTCATCGCATTGGAGTACACAGCGGGTGTTGCGAACATCAGTACGATACTTATGTTTTTTGGCTATATTGTCACGCATTTGAGGTGCCTTGAGCTTACAAACTTGGATGTAAAGACACTGGAAGCCTGCACGCGATCGAGAGGATCAAATATCACAAATCTTGAGGTCAACATTATGGGACTCAATAACAGGGGCATCTCGGATCTTATCAAGATCGTTGAACGATCTCATGAGCCTATGAGCCAGCCATCTTCACGGTTCTCTGTTCATCTTCGCGTGCTGGAAGACGTCCAACCCGATTGGACACAGGCCACGGAGCTTATCGTTGCCCTTGGGTCTAAGGTGGATGAGCTTGTACTTTTTAGCTCAGACGTTGGAAGCCCAGGGTTTGAGTACTTTCTCAAGGCTGTATCACCTGCGACATTACCATTTTTAGAGGCATTGACCATCAATGGATCAGGCGCTCCTCAGTGGCACACAGGCACTGCAGCCAACACTGATGATCCAGAGAGTTTGGGAAGTATGTTAGGTGAGTTCCCTATGAGTGCCTTTACCGCTTTCCCTAATGTTGTGTCTACGGTCAACTCCACGTTTCAAGGAAACAAAGGAGCTCCTTTGAATCACCGTCCTCGCTCTTCATCTCCCAGCCCTCATCCTATCAGTGCTAAACTTGACCTCAATCAAACGACATCACCCCAACTCTCAAGCAAATTTCTACCGTGGCTCGAATCGTTTGCTTCCAAGCTACCGCTTCAAAAGCTCGGTCTCAATTTTGTCCTGTTGGAGACGGAGGAATGGCGATCAATTCTTAGTAAGCTTGATTTTTCAGAACTCGAGGTCTTAGACCTTATGGGTTCTAAAATGACGATGGCTATGTTCTATGAGCTGCCGCTACACTTTCCGACATATGATCGGTATTTGAAACACACATCACCCCCAGTTGCCCCGTATGATTTGGTTCACGGTCGTCGTCAGTATACGCGCTCAAGCAACTTTTCCATGGCACAATTTATTGGAGAGCAATCTCATTCCAACCTAAACGATATCATTGATTCAAATTCAGAGGCAATGGCGGTACCTGCAAACGTGAAGGGTACGCCCTGGATTGCCACTATCTCGAAGCAGCGACAAAGGAGGATGGCTGCTTTGCAAAGCGACGGTCAGAAACAATCCATCACTCAACAACACCAGGGTCATCTACCTCATGAGCGACAGCAACCGCAGCAGGTATTGGAGAAAAGACGGACATGTACTATGCGACGAGTGCGGCTTCCATCAACATCCGACTTTAAGCTGGAACGATACCAGAAAGTGATGATCCAAAACGAGATTAGGGCCTTACTGATAGGATGTGATGTTGATTAGACTAGATTAAGGCTGCATGGACAATTTACAATAATGTACAATAGAGTGATCCAATATGTTTGTGTTTACCGTTTTTCGGACTCAATGTGATTAACCAACTACAGAAAAGGCACCTTTTTTATATTTTTATCTTTGTCCTTGTCTTTGCCCTAATTCGTTGAATTGTCCATCGGCATTCCTAACACCGGGAAAAAAGAAAAAAGAAAAAAAAAAAAAAATTCCAACGTCTTTTTCTCTATTCCTTCGGATCTTTACGCAGACCCAGCAATGGTTGCAGAGCTCTACATCTATGGCGGCGCATTCGGTTTGCCCTCGATCGATCCACAGTGTCTCGCCGTAATTTCATACATGAGCATTGTCTCCCATCAGGATCATACCATTATCGAATGCAACGACCCGGGTATCTCGCCTACTGGTATGTGACCATACCAAACGA